GTGTGAGGAAAATGACCATAACAATAGACGTGATTAATTAATTGTTGGGTCATGAAAACACCAGCAGATCACGCTAATAACGCTAATAATAATAATGAAGTTAACTCCCCAAGCCTAGCGTTGAGTGGCGGTGTATCATACATCCACATTATTTCATTATCAGCTTACGTTTGTGTATATCCTCTAAATAATAATAACACATTTTAACATTATAAGACACTGAGAGGTTTAGTAATACTTCTCAGAATTCGAAAACAGAGTAATTTTGATATTTTGAGAAGGTTGAGACAATACTTTAGAAGTCTCAAGATATTATCCAAAATGGCGGCGTGTTTTGAAGCATTTGGTCACAAGGGCGCCCTTGTAAGTGACAGTAGACTGTCTTAATACATGCCTCTCTCCTGCACCCCCTCTCCATCTCCCCCTCCCCACTGTCAACTACCTCTCACGGGCCTCACCCCCGGTATATAAGCCTTATTACTGACCACTTCAAGTCAGTGCGAAAGTAATCCTCACAGCGTCAAGTCGCGCAGGAAAGTTAACAGTGTAATTTTCTAGTGTTTTTTTTCGGTGGCAAATACAAATTTGCTTTTTGGATTATAAAGTGAAAATATTACTTTGTCTACTAGTGAGCGCTCCGAGCTAATGTGTTTTTTGTTACACTGAAGAACAAAAGATATTTAAGGACTGCAACTTTTAAGTCTTGCAATGGTAAGTATATTGAACTTGTACTGATATTTGACTGAAATATGGGCTTTCGTACTATATAAATAATATAGTACGAAAACTTTTTAAATCTATTAATATTTTATTTTTTATTTCTGTAAAGAAAACTAAATTTCTTCATCTAAAGAAAATAATAACTGCAGTATTAGCTTAGTCGCAGCATTATATACCACTCCTGAGGTTCGTAAGCCTAATACTTAACACCAAACTAACATTGCGCAGTCAGACAATGAATGTATGTAAGAACAATAATTATAATAACAATCCCTTACGACTGAACAACAATTTTCGTGTACAATGGTAAATCATTTATGATTTTACATAATCAGTTGATTCTCATCAATGTTTTAATTTGCTTAGTCTAATATTTAGGCACATATTGAGAGCCTATTATGCTCATCAGTAACATTTTACAAGCGGGCGAAGAGTCACAATAACGTGGCTAAAGTATAATGGCCAGACCACACACTAGAAGGTGAAGGGACGACGACGTTTCGTTTCGGTCTGGTTATCAACATTTTACAAAGCCACTCACAGGATGGGTGTACATGGTGCCTGATAATTTAAACTAATGCACTCCACCACACAAGCAAGCACAATAGCAGTGTTCCGGAATCCATAATAATTTTTAAAGCAATGCAAATCCTCGAGTACTGTGTTGGTATGGAAGTAATTAAATATTCTACAGCTCAATGTCAGTTTAGCATCCATGCCTAGCTACAGTCATTTGTTCCAAGCTCACTGTTACGAACATATTCCATTTACTCACTGCTCGTTGGTTAAATAAATGTTTCCTTAGAGCCTTATGGCTCATCCGCGTCTCAAGCTTCCATCTGTGGTCTCTCGTACCTACTAAACATTTCATCCTTATCAAATCTACCAATGTCGTTTAGGAACTTAGACGTCGCAATCATGTCTTCTTGTTTTCTATCTAATGTAGTAAAGTCCAGTTACCTCAGTCTTTCCTCGTTCTCCAATCCTCTCCGTTCTTGGACCAATCTTGTGTGTGTGTCCATGCTAAAATTATAATAATAAACTGGATTAAATTATAGACTGATTAACTAGAGAAACTAAGAGCATTACAAGCCAGAAGAAAAGTGTAGAAAACGACAGGAACCACAAAGGAAACTTGTGTGTTTGAGAGAGTTGGCGCAATCTGTCGACCATCTGCTGCGAACCTGCAGCAACTCGATAACATTCGCTTACCTGTTGTTCTTCAACCTATCCTCAGACCAAGTCCATTCTATCCAGCGGTCGACCCCAAAGACGCATTTTTAGTGACCTAAATATCCACCAGACAAGGGTCAAACAAACAGAAGTCTCTGATCCACACATATAACTGTACAAACCCAAGGATGGTGCGAGAGAGAATCCTGTCTCGTGTTACTCTGTTGTCCTCTCGTTCTCGTGCATAGAATGGACTTTGGCCTTTGTTTTAAGGACTTTGCAGCCCGTCCTCAAAAAACATGATGCTGTTTTAGCGTTTCTCTTTATGCTCGCCAAATGTGTCATGAAGCATGAAAGTGTTCAATTATCCTCATAAAAATTCTTACAATAATTTTCATGAACATTCACCTCTGTTCATATGTTCATTTTACGTAGTCACAAGCTGACTTTTTCTCCACGTGTTGCAAAAGTCTTCCTTGAAGTTTTTACTGTACAGCAAAAGCTTAACGTTTATCCATTATATTAATGGATAAAATAATGGTTTATCTAATTATATTGAATTTTTAAAGAGAGAGAGAATGTGGGATGCAGAGGAGAGTGGGGAATACAAGGGGGCTAGGAGGAGAGAAGGAGAAGGGGGAATGTAGGATGAGAGGGAAGGAGGGGTGAGAAAGGTGGAGAGGCAAAGAGAGGGGGGGAAAATTGGGAGAAAGGGAACGAGAGGCGGATAGGAGGGTCAAAAGGCGGAAAAGGGAGGTGATAGGGAGAAGGGGGGGGGGGGGAGAAGGGAAGAGAGATGACTTGAGAATGGTCCAGGACGGACCGAAACGTCGTCGTCCCTTCACCTTCTAGTGTGTGGTCTGCGCCTGTAAGAGAGATGAGATTTAGTATTCATCTAATACTCAATCAATTTAAAAATAACCCTATAATGTTGGTACTTAAACAACGACTGTTGTTCATAATTAATGATCTCAGTCTTAGAACTTGTGTAACACGCTTGTGGTACTGTGACATTAATTAATGTAGTGCTTGGTGTCGGCCTGCGGCACTGCCGTAAGGTCTTCCAACCTCTGGAGGGTTATTAATAATGGCCACCACAACTGCCAACCACCATATATACTTAAGTAAACTTAATGTAATATACACAGAAGCCAGGTACACCTTTTGGTGTGATGAGTTTCCTAGGTTAGAGACAAGAATCCTATTAGGCTTATCAAGATATACCAAGTCCAACGACTGACCTTTCACAGAATGCAAACCACGACAGTTGTCTAACTCCAAAGTACCTATTTGCTGTTGGGTGTGCAGAGGCATCAGGTGCAAGAAAACGTGCCCAGCGTTTGCTTGCTAGAGAAATAACTCACATTACAAGGGATACTATTAATTGCTATGCGAGGCTACCACCAGTTTAATATACAGTAATTAATTTTACGTTGTTCCTGGCAGCCTAGCATCGACTTTAGTCTGTCAATACGAAACAAATTGGCAACCTGATTTATATAATTTATTTATTTATTTATTTATATACAAGAAGGTACATTGGGTTTGTGATAATACATAGCATAGTACAGTATTAACACTCTTGTAAAGCCACTAGTACGCGCAGCGTTTCGGGCAGGTCCTTAATCTAACAGATAATTTTAAGTAGGTAAATTCTATCAGAATAAGACGCGCCAGTCTTAAAATAAAACTAACGACTAATAAAGCGTCTTCTTGTCAGTTACAAACGAGTGAAAATTAAAGACTAAAGCACAAATCTCCAGCTCTCGAAATGCCTCAAGAATTACCTAAATACAGCGCTGCCATGTTGCGGTGACCAACACCTCAAGTCATAATTATCTTGTCAGTTTTTTTTTTCACTGGTTGCGTACTTTACAGGTTATGATGATGACTCTTACCTGATATTTTCGGTGTTAAACCCACGACCATGAAAACACCTGACGCATTTTACTGGCTGCCGGAGCACTGATGACTGCTGACCTGCGGGCGGCCTTCACAATGGTTGGGTAATGAGTGGTCACCACGCTCCTCTCTCCTCACTCTCCAACGGAAATAGATTGCGGTGGCGTTACTTAACATTTGCTTAAAAATACATAGAAATAGCGGTGTATTTTTTTTGTATTTGTAACACTAAAAATGCCTTTAAGCTACATTTATTTGTTCTAATCTCTATACATTGTAGTTACAATGTCACAATGCCCATACAAGGACTAAATTTTAATTACATCAATAATGTTTACGTCAATGGTTGGAGGAAAATAAAACGACAAGTTTCATGGGTTTCAAAATAGAATCACAGCTACACACTGTCACATGACTACAGTGCTCTACGTCTCACACTGTATACAGACAAAGAGCTGAAATCTCTTGAAACCTTGCAAAATGAAGCTATACGTCTCATCTGTGTATACATGAATACAAAGATCCAAATTAGAAGAAGTTGTGGCAAGCATATATGAGTTGAATATAATAAAGCCGAATGATGGGGGGTTGGAAGGGTGCCCAGGAGGCAAAGCTCTCCTGGGCACCGTGTGTGCTAGGAAGTGGCACCTAGGAATGGCACCAGGGAAGAGAAAGGGTTTTTGATGAGCGCGTGACGAGTGGGTCAGGAAGCTGATTGATTGATGAATATTAAGCACCCAAGAGGTGGCACCGGCATGAATAGCCCGTAAACACGCCGGGAAGCCTAGCCCACTGCCTTATGTACCCATCGAGCAGGGCGTTACCCGGTTTACAATAGATACAAAAGCCTAGCGCTTCGGGCTCGATTTCTACCCTGCGCACAAAAAGCTGGCGATGCGCCCTTCGATCCATTATTGGGCCACACATAACCCAATAAAGCTCAGACAACCTACTACATTTATTATGTCATAGCTATCAGGAAGAAGCAAATTTTTTGATACACCTTTTGTTAATGTCTGTCTCACCGCTCTAATAGTTAACTACACATAGTGTTATACTTCCAAATTGTAACCTAAATGTTACGTTAACAATAATAAAAAACCTTAATATTTCACCTAACTGGGCAGCAGTTATAGCAGTCAGCAGGCAACAACAGCAGTATATTCTAGATATATGGGTGATTAATAGATGAATACCTTTTTCAGGAGCGGTGGTGGGCGTTAATGGTGGCGGTTGTAGCCATTGTAGGACCACCAGCTGCGCACTCCAACAGCCTGAAGATCGCGAGGGAGCCTACTATTCTCTCCTTTATCCAGGAGGAATTCATTGCGAAAACATTCCCCAATGAGATCATCTCCCTGGAGGAGATAGTCAAGGCGCCATTAGATCTTGACTTACTGGGTGATGGGAGGATTGATGAAACCATAATTCATGATGCTATCAAACAGAAGACAAATGAGACGAGAGTCACAAATAACACAAAATTGGTCGCAGAAGAGTCCAAAACTGAGGATACTTATGCTAAGCTTCCCGCCCATCATCACTTGTCTCGTATCTCTCGCCCGCTTAACACTCCTCACACCATTCTCGATGAAAACATTGATAGCAAAAGGAAAAAAAATATCCAAAGAAAACGTAGAAAGGCAGAAAAAGCACTGTCTCTTCTCTCGGCCGGACATTCTCCTTTGCCTTTTCACTCTGTCATTTCGCATTCTCCTTCACAGCCAATTCCTGCTGGATATGTCTACAACCCTTCAGTCTATCCTACCTACTCCTCTCCCTTTGGAGTTACTCCCTCATACGGAGTTACCCCATCATTTGGCATCACGCCGTCTTATGGAGTGACACCTTCGTATGGAGTCAATCCTCATTTTGGAGTAAGTCCATCTTATGGAGTAGTGGCGCCCCAGTATGTGGCCCCACCTTCTTCTACGTATTACATTGCACCGCAGGCAGGTTACAGTTCCCCGATTTCCTCTAGTCCTGTTGCAGACACATATACGGCCCCACCAGCAGAGTACAAAGCCCCTAAAGAGGAGTACAAGGCTCCGGAGCAAGAATACACGTCTCCGAAGAAAGGATACGACTACTCCCCTCCGTCATCTGCATATAAGGCTCCAGAATCCGAATACAAGGCTCCAGAATCCGAATACAAGGCTCCCGAATCCGAATACAAGGCTCCAAAATCCGAATACAAGGCTCCAGAATCTGAATACAAGGCTCCGAAAGCAGGATATGATTACCAACCACCAACTCCTGCATACAAAGCACCAGAGTCAGAATACAAGGCTCCGGAATCTGAATACAAGGCTCCGAAAGCAGGATACAACTACGAACCACCAGCTCCTGCATACAAGGCTCCAGAGTCAGAATACAAGGCACCAGAACCAGAATACAAGGCTCCAGCATCCGAATACAAGGCTCCAAAAACAGGATATGATTATCAACCACCAACTCCTGCATACAAGGCTCCAGAGTCAGAATACAAGGCTCCAGCATCCGAATACAAGGCTCCAAAAACAGGATATGATTACCAACCACCAACTCCTGCATACAAGGCTCCAGAGTCAGAATACAAGGCTCCAGAATCTGAATACAAGGCTCCAAAATCCGAATATAAGGCACCAGAATCAGAATACAAGGCTCCGAAAGCAGGATATGATTACCAACCACCAACTCCTGCATACAAGGCTCCAGCATCTGAATACAAGGCTCCAAAATCCGAATATAAGGCACCAGAATCAGAATACAAGGCTCCAAAAACAGGATATGATTATCAACCACCAACTCCTGCATACAAGGCTCCAGAGTCAGAATACAAGGCTCCAGCATCTGAATACAAGGCTCCAAAAACAGGATATGATTATCAACCACCAACTCCTGCATACAAGGCTCCAGAGTCAGAATACAAGGCTCCAGCGTCCGAATACAAGGCTCCAAAAGCAGGATATGATTACCAACCACCAGCTCCTGCATACAAGGCTCCAGAACCAGAATACAAGGCTCCAGCATCCGAATACAAGGCTCCAGCGTCCGAATACAAGGCTCCATCATCCGAATACAAGGCTCCAAAAACAGGATATGATTACCAACCACCAACTCCTGCATACAAGGCTCCAGAGTCAGAATACAAGGCTCCAGAGTCAGAATACAAGGCTCCAGCATCCGAATACAAGGCTCCAAAAGCAGGATATGATTACCAACCACCAGCTCCTGCATACAAGGCTCCAGAACCAGAATACAAGGCTCCAGCATCCGAATACAAGGCTCCATCATCCGAATACAAGGCTCCAAAAACAGGATATGATTACCAACCACCAACTCCTGCATACAAGGCTCCAGAGTCAGAATACAAGGCTCCAGCATCCGAATACAAGGCTCCAAAAGCAGGATATGATTACCAACCACCAGCTCCTGCATACAAGGCTCCAGAACCAGAATATAAGGCCCCGGAGTCTGAATATAAGGCACCATCAACATCCTACAAAGAACCAGATTCAGGGTATAAAGCTCCTTCAACTACCTATAAGGAGCCAGATACATTGTATAAGGCGCCGTCAACATCCTATAAAGAGCCTGATACGGTGTATAAGGCGCCATCAACAACCTATAAGGAGCCAGAATTTGAATATAAGGCACCGTCAACACTATACAAGGAGCCGGATACAGTGTATAAGGCACCGTCAACAACATATAAGGAGCCGGATACAGTGTATAAGGCACCGTCAACAACATATAAGGAGCCGGATACAGTGTATAAGGCACCGTCAACAACATATAAGGAGCCAGAATCTGAGTATAAGGCACCGTCAACACTATATAAGGAGCCGGATACAGTATATAAGGCACCGTCAACAACATATAAGGAGCCGGATACAGAGTATAAGGCACCGTCAACAACATATAAGGAGCCGGATACAGTGTATAAGGCACCGTCAACAACATATAAGGAGCCAGAATCCGAGTATAAAGCACCGTCAACAACATATAAGGAGCCGGATACAGTATATAAGGCACCGTCAACAACATATAAGGAGCCAGAATCCGAGTATAAAGCACCGTCAACAACATATAAGGAGCCGGATACAGTGTATAAGGCACCGTCAACAACATATAAGGAGCCAGAATCCGAGTATAAGGCACCGTCAACAACATATAAAGAGCCGGATACAGTGTATAAGGCACCGTCAACAAGCTACAGACAGCCACAGGGTTACAATTACGACCCCCCTGTACACTCTGGGTCCCCCGGGGTGTACTTGCCCTCCCCCCCAGAGTACGGGTCAGTACAGAAGGTGTACGGAGTCAACGAGCCTGCCCCGGTGTACGGCCCTCCTACACTACCACACAGGGTAGGTATTAACACCTCTTGGCTCTTTCCACTCTGATCATAAGTTGACTAGTGCAGTATTCTACAAGTATTCATATCTATATACATTAGCAATCTTCATTTTGACTTCTTTTTCATAATTTTCCATCAACCTTAAAGCCTATTACCATAGGACGTCATTATAACTTGGTAATGAGTGCTTCCAATGGTGTAACTTGGACATAACTTGCAGGTGTTGGACCCATACGCCACATTGGACTACTACGACGACACCTTCCGTCCGCCTCGCCGCCGCCATGGCAGGAGGCGGCGGCCAGGCTTCAGAAGGTTCCGGGGAAGATATTACAGACAAACTTCGGAGTAATGGCGACGCAATTAAGAGTATGGAATACTGCTTTTCTTCCTGTTTCAACTCTGCTATTGTTATTGTATTAAATTGGTGCAAATATATATATGTGGAAATATCATGATGGGAATAATATGTTATGGCAAAATTGTGGAAACTCTGAATGGCAGTGAAATTTTAGAACGAGAATTCTTTCAGGATGGTAACATGTGACACAAATAAAAGGTATATACATACATCAATATAAACTCATGTTACCATCCTGAAATAATTCTCGTTCTAAAATGGCACTGCTGTTCAAAGAGAGTTTAGTTTCTACCGTAGTTTTGCCATAACATATTGTTGCCATCGTGATGATGTTTCCAACTTCTCGTCACTATTTTAGTTTATGTCAACACCGTGAAATGTTGCCATCCAAGAGTCGCTGAAATTATGAATGTGTTGCCGTTCTTTGCCTTGTGTTAAGAGTCAGTCCGTTCCCTTGATCTGCCACTGTGTAAAGTCCACCTTTTATCCTAATCAGAACGTGCAAACCCAAGCACCTAGCCTAATCTAGTGTCCGATGCAAAGAAAACGTACAATTCTGAGTCATTACTTCTTAATAAGTCACATTTGTAACGTTGATTACGAATAATAAAAAAGAAACCTGTTAGTTAAGAGAATAGCATCATCTTAACATCGCCATACGATTTATATGGGGTTCATTGTGGTTACTAACAGCATTCATGTATCTTCGTCCCAGCAGCCGTAGCAGCATCCATCCCTATCCGCCTGCTAGTGCTCATCCGCCTGCTAGCCGCCCCCATCCGCCTACTGTTCAAGCTTTACCTGCTGTCCACCAGTTGAACACTACAACATTTTTATGATCGTCGGCCCGTCATCACCTGTTGCTCAGCTGCCACCAGCGTCCTGTCTACCTGTCATATATCTGCTGGTCAACTGCCTCCCAGCTGTCATCCACCTACACCATCTCTCACAGGCTTTCCACCTTTCATCCACCTGTTCCCCCGCCCAACATCCATATGCTATCCACTTGTCATCCGCCTACTATCCAGTTTTCATCTACTTGCTATCGCCTTTTAATCCACCTGCTGTAATATTGTCATCCACTTGCCTGTAACCTGCCATCCACTTGTTAGACATATACTGCCCCATAGTCATCCACCTGCTACCCACTAGACACCCACCTGTTACCACCCACCTGGAAAACAAACAGAAGAGTTTGTTAAACAGGTGTTATAATAATTTACTTTCGTCCTCTGGAGTCATTATTTTCTCTGTTCCCGTTTCTTTGTTTCTCACTCTGTCGGTCTCTGTCTCTATCTGCATCTCTCATCCATTAAACACTAGATAATACCATTTATTTACCACCAAATCATGCTTTCAATAGTCTTTAATATTTGAGACTTAGACTTGGAGATCAGGTGTAGAGTGTAGGCTGTGTGTGTGTGGGGGGGGGGGGGGGTCTGTTGTAAACAAGTGTAGATTGTACCTTTGTATTCCGTATTATTACTCCATAATATATATATATATATATATATATATATATATATATATATATATATATATATATATATATATATATATATATATATATATATATATATATATATATATATATATATATATATATATATATATATATATATATATATATATATATATATATATATATATATATATATATATATATATATATATATATATATATATATATATATATATATATATATATATATATATATATATAATCCTTCCAGATTTTACTAGAAAGATTACTAGTATTAATGTATATCTCGCTGTAACATATGTATTATTGTGTTTACTCAATTTATGAATAAACCTCATCCATTCTAGTTTATTCTGTAATTTTCAGTTAGGGAAAGAAGGGTAGATAGTGATAGTGATGTGAAGAAACTAGATAAAGTAAGCTGTAGAAGGCTTATTGGTCAATACGAGGCACTTCCTGTTTATATATACCAAACTGTATTGATATGGTGTACTAAATTTATTAATCCAGTGTCATCACAGATATATTGATCTAAATGGCTTCCCAAATATATTGATGTAGTGTACTTGGAAATACATTGATATATCAACTTCCCAAACATATTTTTCTTGTCTCCAAATTTTATTGTTCTGGGGTTTCCCAAATTTATTGATGTGCAGAGACCTTCCAAATGAGTGAGAACGGGTGTGTGGAGTACGGGACGGGTGTGTGGAGTACGGGGACGGGTGTGTAGGGTGCGAGGACGGGTGTGTGGGCTGTACACTGGAGAACCAGCCGGGCGCACCAGCCTGCGTCTGTGGTTACCAGTGCTGGGAAAGCAGGCTTCAAATCTCTTTACAGTTTTACCTACCTCGAAATAATTGTTAATATTCGTCCCGAGGAATAAGATGTTGGTTTTATTATTTTTAATCTGTCCATTAAGTTTTGTTGATTTGGTGTGTGTTGGAACCTGGTTGAGGGATGGCGTGAGGGTTGGTGCATCACGGGAGGTGGCAACATTCAAGTGCAACATTAGGGGAGGCTTGTGTTTGTCTGGACGGAGAGTGTGACGGTTGACAGTCCCCGTGTCACTGGCCGTCACATCTGCGTGTCGTCGCTACATGGGAGTGACCATGGGGCGCCAGCTGCTCCTGGTGTGTTGGGTGTGGTGTGCTGTGTGGTGGGTGGGAGCCACGCCCGCCTCATCCATCCCTAATCGCCAAGAACTGGAACAGCACCAACCCTATCCTACCGATACACACGGACAGTCAATTGTGATGAGGATGATTGAAGAGCAAATGGAGCTCGCCGAAGGTCAGTACCCGTCATTAATTCATCTTGCAACCTGGATTGGTAACCACCTGGTCATGCAAGTCAAAAGAAGCACAGGTTACCAAACAACACGTAACATGGTAGTGTAGGTGAATCGCTAGTTCAGGGGAACTGGATCGTCAACAACAGGCATTAAGTAGTTCCCTACACACTTAAATTCTCCTTATGCGCAGATGTAAGTTGTGCCTTGTAACTCCTTTAACTCGATACTGGAAGGAATCATTCCAGAGACACCATTCTTATCCTCTTGTGGCCAGTAACTTGTCCAGGGAGCAAGTTGTTAGCACACACGAGACGGTCATTCTACTGGTTTCAGATTTACGACTCTTCCAGGTGCTGCCACTAAGAGAGGGGCAGAATAATACAAACTTCAGAGAAAAAGAAGGAAAGATCAACACTAAATAACTGCAGGAATGGAGGGACCGCGTCATTACAAGTTTCACACAACAGTATAATAATAATAATGATAATAATAATAATAATAATAATAATAATAATAATAATAATAATAATAATAATAATAATAACAACAATAATTAAAGTAAGAAATATTTGAAGGAAAGACATACTTAAAGCCACCTTACACGTACAGTAGGGCCGTTGGGGTCGTCATTGACAGGGTGATGGAAGTATGGATGGCCGAGCTGCTGACCTTAATATTACTGGGAAGAAAATCAGTGCGTCTGCTCTTCAGTGTAACAAAATGCTTTATTATTTGTTCATTAAAATCATTCATTTCTGTTATCATTATATTTTCAACTGATATCGTTGCTAGAACAGTCTCTCATTCGTCATAGTACAGCGTAAACAAGTTTTGATTCTCTTCAAAGTTTAAAAGCATCTTTCTGCTTCTGCTGTTGTTATTGTTGTTTTAACATTTTCAGTAGCGTCACGGTTTCTGAAAATGTTGACTAATAATTGTCGTTCATAATCTCCAACAGGGCAATGAGGTTTTCTGATTTGCGAAAATCTTGTACTAGACACAATAAAATATATTGTGTATATAACAATAAGTTCAGTTCTCAGCTTGTCTTAGTCAAGCTTGACATAGGCTGCAACTGATTGTACAAGTGCAGTGCTAGTCTTTGGTATACACTACAATATTATTAACTAAAAGTAACTTGCTACCTTCCAAATGATTAGTGAAGCTGAACCTCGTTCTGCACTGCGACAAAATTACATCACAAACCACCTTTGCAGCAGGTAATCTTTCTGTATTCAATTTTCTTCTCTTGTGTTCAGGCGGCGCAGAAGCCTCACATTCATCTCTTAATTTGTGAACTACAGAAGTGACAGTTTTTAAGAGGCATTAACCGTAGCTGCGTCAATGTTGATAGACTGAAACATAAAGAACATGATGTCAACTTGAGGCATTACTCTGAAGAGAAATTCCAACCAAAACTCGAATTCAGGACCACTTACAATTCTCTTAATACCTGCTGGGCTGCGGCCAATGCAGCTCACCGTTGCTAGATATAGCGCCGATAAATCCTACACATGAAACAGCATTAAACTTCTATTTTTGTCTCGTTTTATTTAAAACCTTCAAAATTCAATTATAAATGTATTGAAAATATCATATAAAGACTTTTTGTTATGACGTTTATTTGTTTCTTATTATGAGGTAGATGGCGTCATACATCTGGCAGCGAGTGTCAGGGGGCGGAGCCCCAATGGGGAGCCGCCCCTGTCCACGATCTTTGCTTGTTCATTCCCTTAAATTATAACACTCTGCAATACTAGCGGTGCTGCTGTGAAGCTGTTAATCCGTATATAATATTTTCCGCGACTTGATTACTTGCTAATAGTTAATTACCGAATAACTTGCTTGGCTATATTCTTTTTGGCTGTATCATTGGTTAATTGCCTTACTTATATTCTTTTATACAAGAATACTTCCTTGAGGACGATTTTGGCTACTTTATAAGTGAAACTGCTCCTTGTTTGTTTGTTGAGAGCTTGGTTGTGGTTACTTGCGTGCTTGCTTGCGTGGGGGGAGTGGAGCAGTCGGCTGGTGCACCAGTACTCACTAACTCACACTCAAGATAACATTAGCATACTGCTGTGCGCTATGGTCCATACTTATTATTATTATTATTATTATTTATTCTAGATATTCCTTGTGTGTTACTTTGGTATTATGGACGGAGAAAAAATGCCGATGAAGATATAATTAATAGTAGTAAGATGAGAGTATTTTATTTGCGGTCATTCTTAATTACTTGTTACTAGAGAAATATATATTGTGACTTACTATTTTCTTAACATTTCCAGCTTCATCCCTGCCCAAACTTATAAAATATATCCTTAAACTATATTTTTATATTTTGTTCATAAAAAATAATAAAGGTACGAGCAAAAGAATAATCTAAAGTTCTTTCTTAGTTTGCATTGCTGATCCCTTATAACTACTTCTCGATCCCTCATAAATTCTTCTTCTCGATCCCTCATAAATCATTCTTCCACAGAGATGAGGGAGGTGATAGAGAGGGTGGACAACCGCACGGGGATCCTCACAGCTCTTCTTCTGGGCAGGTTGAACAACCTCTCCCTGGCTCTCTCCTCTCAGCTCCAGCCTCGCGACCCTCTCACACAAGGTGGGCAGCTCTCTCACACAAGGTGGGCAGCTCTCTCACACATGGTGGGCAGCTCTCTCACACATGGTGGGCAGCTCTCTCACACAAGGTGGGCAGCTCTCTCACACAAGGTGGGCAGCTCTCTCACACATGGTGGGCAGCTCTCTCACACAAGGTGGGCAGCTCTCTCACACAAGGTGGGCAGCTCTCTCACACATGTTGGGCAGCTACCATTGGTCGACTGAGGCAGTAGGTGTTGTGTGAGCTGGCAGTTCTGTCATGGTCTTGTAGATGGTAGGACGCAATGGGTGTAAGCTGCCTGTTTGATAGTTGAATGAGTGTTTGATATGTAGCGCTTCAGCTCTGTCTAATCACCAGTTGTCGTGGTAGTTAGACACAGCCGGTTGTTATGTATCTACTCTTATGTCTGCATTACAATGACAACTACTCTTCCAATAAACACTTACATATTGTCCATAAGGAAATATATAACATTTCTGCGCATGAATCATTGCTCATCTGAGACATCCTTGTCTACAGTAAACTGCTCTAATGAATAGTACATCAAGAAGAGGTACCAGAAAGCTTTTAACGTCTGTCATATAATTCTTGATGCTTAAAAGGTGTTAATTCTAAACTTGGCAACTGTAGGCTGTATAGCTGGAAGCAGGTAAGCAAAGGTTGGACTGGTACTGGTATTTGGCTCCAAACTTAACATACACAATAAGGTTACCAATCATACTACCAGAGGCCCTCCACTGTTTTCCCTTTGATAAACTGCAGGGAACAGATCCTCTTTGTCGACTTTAACCAACTGGAACCTTTGGGTTAGTCTCCTGTAAATACGAAAATTCACTGAGCAATGCCACTGTTGTGGCAACAGGAGGACGGGCTGCTGCTCTCCTCCAAAAATGGAGTGGTAAATGTAAGAAGACAAATAAGTGTAATTATGTACTATTTATAGCAGTTAGGAATTGTACTTATTTTCACTTAGTATTAAATCGTAGTGTCAAATATATTGTGAATATTTGAGTTTACCTGAAAAACTGAATAGAAAACCACAACCTCACCTAACCGTCTTAGTTTTTGAAGATAATAATTTTATTGCTTCTTAATTACAATTAGTACTTAACCTATAGCTATATTGATATTACAGTTTTATAAAACTAATAAAACAAAACTAAAATATATCAATAAATTGTAAAGTAACTCAGGATATTTTACAATTTTGTATAAAATCTATATTGTTTAATAAACCTGAAAAAGAAATTCCTGATATTTAAAACTTGTGTATTGCAAGTTTAAGTCGAAAATTTCATACTAAAATTCTGAGTGTCCTAACAGAAAACGAGAAGAATTAAATCAGAGGATGGAGTTGGGTAAATGTAACAGCCCCATTAGTGCAATTGTGCACTGGTTATGACAGTAAGAAAGTGTACTTATTGCACTTAGTATTAAATCGTACTGTCAATTCGGAGGATGGGATGCAGCCAAGAGAGGTAGGGCAGTGTTAAGGTGGAAAGCGCACCGGAACATTATTGACGTGAGTAGAGCATACGTGTCTGTTTTTTTTTTTTTTTTGAGATATATACAAGAGTTGTTACATTCTTGTACAGCCACTAGTACGCGTAGCGTTTCGGGCAAGTCCTTAATCCTATGGTCCCTGGAATACGATCCCCGCCGCGAAGAATCGTTTTTTCATCCAAGTACACATTTTACTGTTGCGTTAAACAGAGGCTACAGTTAAGGAATTGCGCCCAGTAAATCCTCCCCGGCCAGGATACGAACCCATGACATAGCGCTCGCGGAACGCCAGGCGAGTGTCTTACCACTACACCACGGAGACTGCCAAAATATATTTGGCAGTTGGTTATGTTGTTTGACTATACTATTTATTTATATTTATGTGTGTGTGTGTATATCTGTCAGTTTACTGATGTGTCTGAGTTGATGTTTACCTGGTGAGTATTCTTGGACACAACAGCGCCGGCGGTAGTAACAGGCGAAGAGTTGGCATGCTACCATAGTGCAGTCCGTACTCACAAAGGCCGAAAGTGATTCCATGCACCCGCCAAACCCCCCTGTTTATGAACGAATATCAGTTTACACACGTCTCACCAACCCGTATTGTTTATGTTCATTCCATCCAGCGCTTGATCCCAAAGACGCTTTCATAAATTTTAACCTACAGTTCATTCAAAATATAAAATTTCGCTAACATAAATTAATATTATTATATATTAGCATATTGTGCATATTTAGGCAATGGTTAGATTAGATGTTTAGGTTCTGTTGGTGATTATTTGTATTTGTAGTACGTGGGTGAAGCATTTACAGTGATGGTGGATGACAAGGTTCCAAAGTGGTGGTAGCCATTCGTGTGGTAATAACAGGTTTGTGAGGAGTAACAAAGGTTTATTCAGATTCAGATTCAGATGTTTATTCAGGTAAGGTATATACATACAAGTGATGTTACATTAATGGATTGATATATAGATAGAGCTAGTACATACAATGCCTAAAGCCACTATTACGCAATGCGTTTCGGGCAAGCCACTATTACGCAATGCGTTTCGGGCAAAGCCACTATTACGCAATGCGTTTCGGGCAATGAAGGTAGTTTATGTAGGTAGTGGCAGTGGTTCGTCTGGAGTACCACAAAGGAGCCAGAAGTGTTAAAGGGTACATGATAAAGTGCAACCTGTCCTCTTAAAAAGAACGTTGATTTTGGCCGTTTGCCCGTGTGGCCGAATATGGACGAAATTTGAAAATGGAAAAAAATGAATATAAATTTGGGATTTTTTTTTTCAACAACAGTAAGTTAAGGGTCCTCTGATAGGTTAGTTGGGCAGGAAATTCTCATAAAGTTTCAAAACGGTATGAAAAACGTTAATGGAAAGAATCCTCTTCTAAGCTGGCCGAGTAAGCCGGACGACTCAAACAGAAAACGGAACAGAACGTCACTTTTGTGAGTCGATTTCATTTCAAATTACGTCCAAATTTGGCCATAGCGCGCATACGGGCCAAAAGTGACGTTAGTTTTAAGAGGACGGGTTGCTCAATAAACTTTTTATATTGTGTTTGTAGAGTTGAGGCGCGTGTCAGAGGGCGTTGAGGAGCTGGCGCGAAGCTGGTCGACACACCTGCAGCAGGAGGAAGGTCAGGTGATCAGTACTTTCCTTCCTCTCTATTTTTACCTGAATTTACCTGACGGCCACCATCTTTAGTGGCCTCGACAAGGACAGGACCTCGGCGGCAAGCCTTTTTTTTCTATTTTTTATGCTAGTGTTAGCATTTATATTATAAACAAACTCCTATACGTTTCTTTATTACCATTTTCAACCAGTTTTTATTCATAGTTCTTTACTCATTGTTTTGGTATTTGTATTTTTCTTACTATTTTTGGGCATTCAATTTTGATTTGTCGATTTTGCCTTCACTTTTCAGTTTGATTAATTTTCACTTCATAATTTCTCTACATATTCATAACCACAATAACATAACAACAATAACACAGTTAAGTGTCTTTGGTTAGAAAAAATGTATAGTTTTTTCTTTCATTTCTCTTCAGCAAATTTGCTCCTTACATTTAATAGTGTATAGCTTAATACATCGTGAAATGTTGTTGCCCAGCTATAATATAGTTTACCCTACAGCTGCCCTCACGAGAGAAAACGTGACCCTCGGCTTCCTGAAGAAGATCAATAAACTTGAGAGAGAGAACGAGGCGTTGGAGAGAGACAACGCGCTGACAGTCATCGAAGCTCAACAGCTGAAGGAGGAAAATCGTCAGGTGAAGACCGAGATCTTGCAGGTTGAAGAGGAGAACAGAAAGGTGAAACAGGATGTCCGACAAGCGGAGGAGGAGATGCGAGAAGTGCAGGAGGAGAGACGGATAGTGGAGGCGGAAAAACGGGTAGTGGAGAAGGAAAAGAGGGAAATCGAACAAGATAACCGCAACCTGAGGGCGGAAATTCGCCTGATGGAACAGAGTTTGCGGGGAGCCCAAGAGAGGAATGCAAATCTTGATCAACGGAATGAGGAAATGAAGGAAGAAAATGGCCGTCTGAAGAATAGAGTCCTTCAACTGGAAGGAAACTACTCCAGAGAAAACTGTCTGAGTGAACTTGATCAGGAGGAAAGCAGGCTACTAGAAGAAAGAATCAAGGAACTAGAAGAAGAGAAGAAAAATCTGATGACAACGAATGAGCGACTTATGAATGATAATGGTAGCAAAGAACAGGAAATTAGAAAACTACAAGAGGAAATGAGGACACTTACGAACATGGTGACAGATAATGAAGGCATAAATAATGGGATTTGGTTAAGAGGAACAACACGGGTTACTGATGTAAAAGAGCAAGAGAAAACCGATACCGTAGAACGGAATAACACGCGCATGACTGAGGAATCCATCGAGAAGGAACGTGAGTTGCTGGAAATTCTAGAACAGATGGGGGCACTGCTAGAAAAAGTTACGGAGATGGAGAGTAAAAACAAACGGCTCGAGCAAAACCAGACACTGCTGGAAGAGGAAATCGAGAAACATAAGCAGGAGGTAACTGAAGAAAGAAGAGACAAAATGATCCTCAGAGATAAAGTCATAGCCCTCGAAGACAAGGCTCTTGCCCTGGAATTTGTCAACATTAAGTTAACTGAGGAAAATAGAGCAAAATCAGATCACACTTTTACAGCAAGAGAGGAAAGTAGATTCCAAGTCGAAAGCCTACAGCAGGAGAAAATGCAAATGGAACAGAATATTTCGCGGTTGGAGGAGGAACGTCAGGCAAATGAGAGTCAGAACAGACGACTACTTGAGGTAAAGAAACAGCTGGAAGAAAAAATCATGGAACTAGAAGAAGAAAACTGGAGAATGGAGCTCTCAAGCGCTCAGCTAGTTGAGGCAAATGAGAGGAACAGGCAACTTCTCGACGAAAAACTAGCACTAGAGGACAAGGTGGGAAAGCTGGTGCAAGCAGAAAGGGAAAGGTGGAAAAACAAAATAGCTGTGCAGAACGACGAACAAGGGAAAGAAGAGCGTGAAATACTGACAGCTAAAGTAATCAAACTAGAAAAAGAGAAGACACAACTCGAAATCAACAAGACAATTTTGGAAGAGGAGCTTCAGCAACTGAAAGAAGAGAAAAGGGAAGTAGAAGAAGTTAGCAGGATGCTGGAGACGAGAGTAATGTTATTAGAAGAAGAGAAGTGGAGCCTGCAGGAAAACAACACCTGGCTGATAATGGATAAAGAACAAAGGGAACATGACAAGATGCAACTAAAGGAGGAGAAGAACACATTTGAAACTAAATATCAGGAAATGGAAAAGCGAAAAATGAAGGTAGAAGAGGACAACCTACAGTTGATGGAGGATAAGGAAAAGAGAGAGCAGGAGAATAACGAACTCCAGGAGGAGAACAAGGCACTAGTGGCCAAAGTTCTGGAGTTGGAGGAAGATAAGTGGCAGCTAGAACAAGGAAATACGTGGCTGGTGGAGGAAAATGAGGGACTCCTGGTAGAGAAGAAAAGAATGGAAGGAGAGAAGAGGAAGTTGGAGGAAGAGAAGCGGACGCTGGAAGAAGGTTCACGCCAGGTCCAGTTGGTCCATCGACAGTGCCAAGGCAACCTCACCAAAATTTTACGGTAATGTTGGTGTATTTTTTCTTTATAATTTTGCTTGAGTCGCTCCCTATAATTCAATCTATATATTACTATATCTTAATAAAGGAGCTGGTCTCCTACACGGACTAGAGTACAATATTATTACAATTGATAATGTTCCTATGAATATTTTAATTTTGGCATAACTTCCTTCAATCAACAAAAGGGTGAAGCCTAGTTCACTCATATCTGTCCATTGTGTTCGACGTTTCATCAACAACGTTACATCTTCAGGAATACACTCACACGGTAATACTACTACAACATGTAACATAACAACGTAGGCAAGAGTCATCTGACGTTACGACCATCGAACTTCAAGATCAGGTAAAGTGGGTAATAGTTGTGTAATCCGAGGAATGCCTTTTCGCTCTGGCCGCTGTCGAATTCATGAGCGTGTTTATTGATGGGTCAAGTTTAGCCTCTTGTGGTCACTGTTGCGTGTGATGAGGATAGTGTTTTTAACTATAGTCAAACGATTCACTTATAGATAAGTGTGCAATGTGTAATGCCTTCTGTCTGTAAATGAAGTGTGAGTAGCTCGCCCAGTGTTACAAATATGTCCAATGTAGCCTAGCATGTTGCGGTATGTAATCTCTGGAGTTGCACTTATATTCATAAACTACGTTAGTAACTTCAGCTTGTCAGAGGAGTGGAAATGTTGTTTTCTTAATAAAGAAAGTTGTACGAAGGTTATTATAGTAATTGAAAATACGATTCCGAATATTTGCACTACATGGCTTACAATTTATATTAATTATATGATGCATTCATTGTCTCAGCCTTATTATAGGTCTGGATAAATGTATTCTTATAGCACAAAATGTCTTCACCGGTAGCCGACTATTCCCCGTGTTGTGGCAGCTGAGCATCTAACTAACGATTTCGTCGAAGTCTTATACTGTTAATATTATTTATCATTATTTGAGAAACGCATTAATGTTGACAGCGCGCGCCCTGCAGGGACACTGACGGCACTTGTTATATATCTGCTAGAACATTCACTATGCCGCTCAAACATTGACCCACGTCAGTCGGTTTTCGAAATTCGTTGGTGAGGAATCTACACGAAGTAGCATCCACCAGGACACAGGAATGGTATTCATCCCACACTACTCAACAGTGAAGTCCAAGAAGCCTCTCCATGTTTTCGTGATCAACACATACGAATATGTCGTTGACATATTCTACAGTACATGTAGGGTCTCAACCCATCACATCAGCTGATGGGTATAACATTATACAATTCCTAAAATAAATATTAGGAATATACCCATAGATTAATTATGTTAAGTTGGATATAACATTTAAAAATGTAGTTTATTTTCTGCAGGCGAGCTACTGACTGCGCTGCTCTGTACTGTCTCGGGTCCAGGGAAGATGGCGTTTACACCATCTATCTCCCCAAGTAAGTCTCTAGCCACCAACTGTTACAACACCCCGCCTCCCACGGCTCAGTCTTCAACTACTTGCCCTGGTTAATTATTCACAACCTTTTGCTCCCACCCATTATCGGCAACTATATCACGTGCTCAGGACAGTTTTCAAACACAATCACCAGTTTCGCTACATACTCGGCTGAATACTTTTCCTCCCACCTTACTTTACCTTCCTAGGTAAGTCTCGCTACTTAAGTGCCGAAGAACATTGCACTGCCTTTCGTGCTCACTATAGCCCGTGCTATGGAAATTTTGTTCCGAGTAGCTGAATCTAAAACAACAACAATGTTGCACAGCATGGAAGAAATGAATTTCATTTTTACTTTCCATGGAACTTACTCCACAAACTAAAGAAAATAGCCTATGTACCATTTACAATTATTTTTAGACAGACCCCCCCAAAAAATTAAAGTCCTGCTTGAAATATCGCAGGAAATAGTGCTCAAATGCAGGATTGTTCTGCTTAAAGCAGGACGTCTGGACACCCTACCATCAACACCTCTAACATCCATTTTTCTGTCTTTTTGCCTCCAGGGATGAAGAAGAGCATCAGAGCGTTTCCGTGTGGTGTGACATGACTACCGACGGAGGTGAGTAGCCTAGCACGTCACTATCTCCGTCAGGAATTTCAATAAGTTGTAAAAACGCTCTTAACCGCCTGGTTTCGTAAATATATGGAAATTGGACAAAGTCTTTTGAAATATGTATACAATACGAATATGCTAGATGAATCTTAAATTCGTGGGGGGATGGAATTTTGTATTTACCGTGAATGGAAATTAGTGAACCTTGCCATTTCCTGCAAAGGGAAATGTTACTCGACTATAGGTACAGACAGTACCTATGTACATAGGTACAGGCAGTACCAATGTACTGCCTGTAACCCAGACCATTCACTCTTCAAAATTTCGCGAGGCTAGTCCCAAGCATCTGACCACCTACTTTGGACAGACATTCTCTTCTGGGTATACCTCCCTCATCTCTCTTTTCTACCCTTCACAACCTTCCTTTTTATTAACCAACATCCATACCTTTCGCAACCATGTTCATCCCTTTAACAATGTGTAAATACAAAATTTCTTCCTAACTACCAATGTAATATATATACATATATGTATATATATATATATATATATATATATATATATATATATATATATATATATATATATATATATATATATATATATATATATATATATATATATATTATTAAATATGACCGAAAAAGTAAGATTAATAATTCTAACACGAATTTTCTCAATCTTTCGTACATTTCTTTTCACTGTTGGAGGTAAATCAAAAATCAATTCTCCAAAATTCATTTTTATTTCTAGTCTGACGCGACACGAGCGCGTTTCGTAAAACTTATTACATTTTCAAAGACTTTAGTTCACAAATACACAACTGAATAGAACTTACGCATCTCCGATTTTATATCTACATTTGAGTGAGGTGGAAGGGGTGATGTGGCATTAACACAAGACAGAACATGAGGTGGCATTAATAGGGTATTAATTTCATCAACACAAGACAGAACAAGAGGTGGTATTAATAGGGTATTAATTTCATCAACACAAGACAGAACACGAAACAATGGGTATTGAATAGAAGTGTTTGTAGAAAGCCTATTGGTCCATATTTCTTGATGCTTCTATATTGGAGCGGAGTCTAGAGGTGGGTAGAATATAGTTGTGCAATAATTGGCTGTTGATTGCTGGTGTTGACTTCTTGATGTGTAGTGCCTCGCAAACGTCAAGCCGCCTGCTATCGCTGTATCTATCGATGATTTCTGTGTTGTTTACTAGGATTTCTCTGGCTATGGTTTGGTTGTGGGAAGAGATTATATGTTCCTTAATGGAGCCCTGTTGCTTATGCATCGTTAAACGCCTAGAAAGAGATGTTGTTGTCTTGCCTATATACTGTTTTTTTTGGAGCTTACAGTCCCCAAGAGGGCATTTAAAGGCATAGACGACGTTAGTCTCTTTTAAAGCGTTCTGTTTTGTGTCTGGAGAGTTTCTCATGAGTAGGCTGGCCGTTTTTCTGGTTTTATAGTAAATCGTCAGTTGTATCCTCTGATTTTTGTCTGTAGGGATAACGTTTCTATTAACAATATCTTTCAGGACCCTTTCCTCCGTTTTATGAGCTGTGGAAAAGAAGTTCCTGTAAAATAGTCTAATAGGGGGTATAGGTGTTGTGTTAGTTGTCTCTTCAGAGGTTGCATGGCTTTTCACTTTCCTTCTTATGATGTCTTCGACGAAACCATTGGAGAAGCCGTTATTGACTAGGACCTGCCTTACCCTGCAGAGTTCTTCGTCGACTTGCTTCCATTTTGAGCTGTGGCTGAGAGCACGGTCGACATATGCGTTAACAACACTCCTCTTGTACCTGTCTGGGCAGTCGCTGTTGGCATTTAGGCACATTCCTATGTTCGTTTCCTTAGTGTAGACTGCAGTGTGGAAACCTCCGCCCTTTTCCATGACTGTTACATCTAGAAAGGGCAGCTTCCCATCCTTTTCCATCTCGTAAGTGAAACGCAGCACGGAACTCTGCTCAAATGCCTCCTTCAGCTCCTGCAGATGTCTGACATCAGGTACCTGTGTAAAAATGTCGTCAACATACCTGCAGTATATGGCCGGTTTCAAGTTCATGTCGACTAAGACTTTTTGCTCGATGGTACCCATGTAGAAGTTTGCAAACAGGACACCTAGGGGAGAACCCATGGCGACCCCATCTACTTGCTTATACATGTGCCCATCCGGGCTCAAGAAGGGTGCCTCTTTAGTACAAGCTTGGAGTAGTTTCCTCAGAACATTTTCTGGTATGTCAAGAGGAGTACAGGCTGGATCACGATACACTCTGTCGGCTATCATTCCGATTGTCTCGTCCACAGGTACGTTGGTAAACAGCGATTCTACGTCCAACGAGGCTCTTATCCCTGTGGCCCGTGTGCCCTGCAGTAAGTCAACAAATTCCTTTGGAGACTTCAGGCTGAAGGCGCAAGGAACATAAGGAGTCAGCAGGCCGTTGAGTCGCTTCGCCAGTCTGTACGTGGGTGTGGGTATCTGGCTAATGATTGGCCGAAGTGGGTTTCCAGGCTTGTGTGTCTTGACATTTCCATACTCATTTCCAGGTTTATATTCCCCAATGATCTTTGGCAGGTGGAGTCCGGATTTCTTGGCGTTCACAGTTTCGATCAGTTTGTTGACCTTTGCTTTTAATTCAGCTGTAGTGTCCTTCATTACCCTCGAGTAGATGGGGTCGCCATGGGTTCTCCCCTAGGTGTCCTGTTTGCAAACTTCTACATGGGTACCATCGAGCAAAAAGTCTTAGTCGACATGAACCTGAAACCGGCCATATACTGCAGGTATGTTGACGACATTTTTACACAGGTACCTGATGTCAGACATCTGCAGGAGCTGAAGGAGGCATTTGAGCAGAGTTCCGTGCTGCGTTTCACTTACGAGATGGAAAAGGATGGGAAGCTGCCCTTTCTAGATGTAACAGTCATGGAAAAGGGCGGAGGTTTCCACACTGCAGTCTACACTAAGGAAACGAACATAGGAATGTGCCTAAATGCCAACAGCGACTGCCCAGACAGGTACAAGAGGAGTGTTGTTAACGCATATGTCGACCGTGCTCTCAGCCACAGCTCAGAATGGAAGCAAGTCGACGAAGAACTCTGCAGGGTAAGGCAGGTCCTAGTCAATAACGGCTTCTCCAATGGTTTCGTCGAAGACATCATAAGAAGGAAAGTGAAAAGCCATGCAACCTCTGAAGAGACAACTAACACAACACCTATACCCCCTATTAGACTATTTTACAGGAACTTCTTTTCCACAGCTCATAAAACGGAGGAAAGGGTCCTGAAAGATATTGTTAATAGAAACGTTATCCCTACAGACAAAAATCAGAGGATACAACTGACGATTTACTATAAAACCAGAAAAACGGCCAGCCTACTCATGAGAAACTCTCCAGACACAAAACAGAACGCTTTAAAAGAGACTAACGTCGTCTATGCCTTTAAATGCCCTCTTGGGGACTGTAAGCTCCAAAAAAAACAGTATATAGGCAAGACAACAACATCTCTTTCTAGGCGTTTAACGATGCATAAGCAACAGGGCTCCATTAAGGAACATATAATCTCTTCCCACAACCAAACCATAGCCAGAGAAATCCTAGTAAACAACACAGAAATCATCGATAGATACAGCGATAGCAGGCGGCTTGACGTTTGCGAGGCACTACACATCAAGAAGTCAACACCAGCAATCAACAGCCAATTATTGCACAACTATATTCTACCCACCTCTAGACTCCGCTCCAATATAGAAGCATCAAGAAATATGGACCAATAGGCTTTCTACAAACACTTCTATTCAATACCCATTGTTTCGTGTTCTGTCTTGTGTTGATGAAATTAATACCCTATTAATACCACCTCTTGTTCTGTCTTGTGTTGATGAAATTAATACCCTATTAATGCCACCTCTTGTTCTGTCTTGTGTTAATGCCACTTGATTTTTGATTTACCTCCAACAGTGAAAAGAAATGTACGAAAGATTGAGAAAATTCGTGTTAGAATTATTAATCTTACTTTTTCGGTCATATTTAATAATATATGTCTACAGGAAAGACTGCTACCAAAATATACTATATATATATATATATATATATATATATATATATATATATATATATATATATATATATATATATATATATATATATATATATATATATATATATATATATATATATATATATATATATATATATATATATATATACATTGCTCGGTGTGAATTACTCATATTAATCTTTGTGATATGTGAGGTGGTTGGACGGTGTTCTTGGCGAGACAGGAGCAGGGAGCACAGGAGAACTTTGCCAGGAACTGGGAGGACTACAAGACCGGCTTTGGCAGAGCATCCTCTGAGTACTGGCTTGGTGAGTGAGAGAGAGAGATTAACATTTCTTTCTAATATTAAAGTTAAAAATACCAATATCTGATCATATCCAGGCACCATTATATTACTACTGTCTTGAACTACCTGAGTTATGCTAGGTAAGCTTCAGTTTTAAAGCACAATTTGCCTGCTTAGCCGTTCGCAAACATATCTTTACCACCGTTAGTGAATATCTTTCACTCCTTGTTTCCAACTACCGTGCCCAGGTAACGAAGTGATTCACAGCCTTACCACCGAGAAACCTCAATCCCTTCGTCTTGATGTGAAGAATTACCAAGGAGATCAGCGCTGGGCCCAGTGGGAGACCTTCAGCGTCGCCTCCGAGCACGACCAGTAGGTGTTGGGAGAGCTGCTGCTGGTGGAGTAATGCCCATCAACCTTTACAGGATTATTAAGCCACCACTGGTTTGTCTGGTTACAGATAAACCAACAGGTAGTAGTAGTCATCCATCAGTCTCAGGAGACTATGGAGTTGCGCTCTGGTTGGCGGTCTGGAGTGGCCTCACCAGGGCGCAAAGCCAGTGAGGTATACCTGTTGGTATACTAAAGTATACCAACAGGTATACTTTAGTCTTCAACATAGTTAAGGACTAAAATAAGCCGAGTGTATATACACCGAGCAGTGAGGAATACATCTGTGTAAATATCATGAGCCGGGGATTATGCTAATTACTATCATTATGTTTTATCATTATGGCAACATTATTAATATTTTTCAAAATAATTAAACAGTTGTAAATATAAATAATAATGATAACAAAAATAAAACATAATGCTTATAATAACTCGAAACAAGTGTGGCTGGACCATGTTTACTTTACATAGTCCGCAAAATTAATTACCCGCACACAGGTGGCTAGGTACTTCCCTTGTAAGAATAGTTTGGACGCTTCTTACGCAAAATAATAGAACTCGTTTTTACAAACAGTTCATTAGTCACTTCATCGATTGAAAGATGTAACTGAATGATTAGTACAAAAATTATATATTCAGTAAACTTCAATTTGATCCGTGCATATTCAAATATTGAAGCTTTATAACTAAGTGATTATGCAATATTGTTAGTTATTGTCAATATAAAACATGCAAAAAAGGCAACAGGATAAACCTTTGTCAGGTTGTATTTCAATTTCAATTTCAATTGGCAGGTTCGGGCTTGAGGTGACGGGGTACGATAACAGCAGCACCCTGGGCGACACCCTCACAGGCGAACACACACTCCACAACACCAAGTTCTCCACCATCGATAAAGACAATGATGGTTTGGTTTACGGTAAGATTGACTGTTCATAATTTTTTATGAGTATATAGTGAAGATCTAGTTATCAGAACAGTGTTTATGTGGAGCCTGAGTATCGTACTGGTTAAGTTGGGTTAATGTACGTCTAGTGCTCCATCTCCTCCTCACACTTCTGATATACCTGATGTAGTTACATAATGATATTGCCGCTTTGTATTGCAAAATGTTTACGAGGGCAGGAAAAACGAAAATCTAAAGCCAATCTAAAATAATCTAAGCCTAGTACTTAGTGACATCATTAAGTGACAACTATTTTTAGGGCATACGGCAAATTTAAATGATTTTGCGTTATTCTCGAATCAAATACGCAGCTCTTGCTGCAAGGTTAAGTTTTTTTTTATTTAAATAGCACTGCGCACTAAGAGTTATCATCCAAAAGAGTGCAGAGTGCATACTATAGTGGTCCATAGGCCACTATAATATGCACTCTGTTAACGTTTTTTTAATCTTTGTATATCACATCTGCTTAGAAGTTGAGTCCAGAGTGCTACCAGAGAGAACATTGTCACTATTTAATATATTTAATTTTGAAAGTTAAGCGTGCGCACTAAGTTCATCTGGTCTGAATAACAATTTACCCGCCACTTCCCAAGACTTTCCAGTGATCCTGAAATTTCGTAATCTTTTTCCAGGATCGTGCGTGGACTTCTTCTCCGGCGGGGGAGGCTGGTGGTACAGCTACTGCTCCCACCTCAAGCCTACGGCGCCCCTGGCAGCCGCCGGGCGCAGCGACACCCTCATGGCTGCCTATTGGACCCCCGGAGTACTCACTTGGGTCAGACTCAACTGGCTTCAAATGAAGATCAGGCCTAGGGACTTTCCGGCCTGCACCAGTTGATGGGATGAATAATGTTCAAGGTTACTCTAGAATATGGTCAAATGAGTTGAAAGATTGAAAGGTTTGTCAATAATTAGGTAAAATTATTTGACCGAGTGAAAGATTAATGTAGGATAAGGTCAAATGTAAGTGGAGGGAAGGAGTCGTCACTTTATGACCTATGACTCAAAATTCTCTGTCCTTTATCGATCTATGACTCAAAATGATTTATCCTTTGACGATTTATGACTAAAAATTCTTGATTCAGATTGTCAAAGACAAAAACACAATCTTTCTTTTTCTTCGTTGAAATGTGACTAAACAACAAATATTTTGTTTGATGGTCTATGACTATTTTTTTCTTTGAAGATATATGAATTTGAAAGCTCTATACCTCGAGAGTTGATGAACTGAAAGAATAAAAGGCTAGTCTTCGACACTGCCAAGTGTAAATCGGGTAACTTTAAAGCTTAGTTAATAGATAAAAACTGCAAAATGGAGTAAATTTTTGCGACATAAGGCAGGTTTAAGAGGTAGATCGACTAGCCAGCATTTATAAATTAGAAATTCAATGTGAGATCAAACAGAAGGACTTAATAACTGGCCGAAGCATTACCAGTAGTTGGAGAGTTGATGTTCTCGGCTGAAGAAGAACCCAGTTGAGAGCAAAGGTTTAAGCCTTAAAGGCATCAATTGCATTGATAAAAAATAATGAATTAAATTATAGGAGCAAGAAGGTTGTTTTCTTAGTACAAGTTTATATTAGTATTTGGGTTATATTTTACATCTTCATGAGGGAGATCTACTGGACTCATCCTGTATGTCGTATATGTAAATATTGCATGTGACTAGCAGCATCTGCAGCCTACAACAGGACAAGCGTTAATAGGAACAGTTGGAAGAGCGTCTGTGCCTGTGTGTGCTTACGGGATGTTGAGGCGGAAGGTGGGAGAAAATTCCGTTACTTAAGCATAACTTACTTGGAATATGTAATTTAAGTACGAAAATTCTCCTAAAGGGAATGTCCAACAGGAGAGTTGTATTCTAGGCACGTCTGGGCCGCAACTTCGTCATTTATCTGTATCGTAAGTATAAGTTGTTTAAGTGTAAATATGAAGTAAAGGTTTAGGAACACTTTATAAGTTGTTTCACTTACCCTCTTATTTCCGAGATTCTCCAATTCTACAGATTCATATTTTGAGATGCACACAGTAACTACGTAGAGAATTATTTAATTCATATTAGGAGCACTAAGTACTGTTTGATTAATGTGTGGCTAAGTAAATAACCAGAGATACTTGGTTATTGATGGCGGCGGGCGCACCGCTGCCAGACGCCGCCTGATTATCTGTGTTGCCAGCTTTTGCTAGTTATTACTTCAGTAAATGTTTGCCATTATTTTATTACGGCGTTTGACTTAAGTCTCCGACATTTGAACTGCCTAGCCGTTAAAACCGAAGTGAGAGCATTCAAATGACATAACACGTTTATACAGATATATATTTCACTTTGAAAGACGTAAGATATATATTATTTATTGTGCGGACAGGCCGAGTCATTCCAGGTCGAGGATGAGGCTTTGTAAGGACGTGACCCGGCAGTGTGTGTCAGGCCAGGGTGTGACCAGGGTGTGTCCAGGGTGTGACCAGGGCGTGACCAGGGTGTGAGAAGCGTGTCCAGGGTGTGTCAAACTTCACCGTACGGCCGCCCAGGCGTAGTGGCGAATGATTCCAGTGGCAAAGCCTCATCCGTACAGGTAACTGGCGATCACATGCAAAAAAGACGCTGCCAACGTAGCTACGCGAGAATAGAGTTGTGAGCACTTGAGCGCCAGGGTGCGAGTACTCCTGTCTACTCCTGGGGTAGAAATAGCCTAAGCTACTCTATCCCTTTGAGATGTATTTCTTTCTTATCTCACTAAACATACTTGAACTTATCGGTGAAGGGACCAGTAAACTGTCCCAGAGGGAGCGGACGGTCAGAGGGTCCGCGTCCTGAGATAGTGAGGTTCCCTTTGGAGACTCTTCCATGCTTCACCCTGCCTAGGGAATTTTGAGTTGGCTCAAGTCCCTTCTCGTGGCACGAATAGGGGGAAGGTGCGTCACAAGAGTGCTAAGATAGTACAGATATGGCGAGGTGGAGTTGTAGACAACACACAGAGCCATAACACAAGGTGGAGTATTAATCAATGAACTGTGCTATGAGACCCTGGTGCCACGTCTGTGGATATAATCAACACTGGTGGATGACAGTTGAAAACGTCGTGCTATTGATCGCTTTAGGAGACGATTTGCTTATTATCATTATAGTTTGCATAATTATTGGTATTGCTGATGAACGACCTTCTTATAATTAATGTTTGTGTTCGGCATTGTGTAGATGTGGCACATTTGTGGTAGTCGTCACTGTGAATTAGTTTTCTTATGGAAGTTGCCGGGAGCGGTTGTTGTGGTAAACCCTGACAGCTTCCTACGCACTCTGGTCTTACGGGTTTTCTTCATATTTATAGTTTATTATGCCATTTCATATCGGAAATTTAGCTGGAAAAAATATGAAAGAATAATTAGGAAACGACAAGAAATGTCATATTTGTGTTTACAACTTGTGTTTGTGTCTAGAAATGCGCCATGATTCTCAGAGCTGCCTTGATGCCTTACCACACGACCCGAGTATGACGACCCAGGTACGACTACCTAGGTACGACTACCCAGGTACTACGACCCAACACCGATGACTCGCACGACGAACCACAAAATACTCGGTCGCTAGTTTCCATTATTTGTGAAATCACCGAATACTTGTAATTGAGCCTCCGTGGACCTCCACCACCATCTACTGCGATACTTTCGTGTCCAACAACCTAGTGGCCACAGTACCCAGTGGCCACAATACCCAGTGGCCACAGTACCTAGTGGCCACAGTACCCAGTGGCCACAGTACCCAGTGGCCACAATACCCAGTGGCCACAGTACCCAGTGGCCACAGTACCCAGTGGCCACAGTACCCAGTGGCCACAGTACCCAGTGGCCACAGTACCCAGTGGCCACAGTACCTAGTGGCCACAATACCCAGTGGCCACAGTACCCAGTGGCCACAATACCCAGTGGCCACAGTACCCAGTGGCCACAGTACCCAGTGGCCACAATACCCAGTGACCACAGTACCCAGTGACCACAGTACCCAGTGGCCACAATACCCAGTGGCCACAGTACCCAGTGGCCACAATACCCAGTGGCCACAGTACCCAGTGGCCACAGTACCCAGTGGCCACAGTATCCAGTGACCACAGTACCCAGTGGCCACAGTACCTAGTGGCCACAGTACCCAGTGGGCACAGTACCCAGTGGCCACAGTACCCAGTGACCACAGTACCCAGTGGGCACAGTACCCAGTGGCCACAGTACCCAGTGGGCACAGTACCCAGTGGGCACAGTACCCAGTGGCCACAGTACCCAGTGGCCACAGTACCCAGTGGCCACAGTACCCAGTGGCCACAGTACCCAGTGGGCACAGTACCCAGTGGGCACAGTACCCAGTGGCCACAGTACCCAGTGGCCACAGTACCCAGTGGCCACAGTACCCAGTGGCCACAGTACCCAGTGGGCACAGTACCCAGTGGGCACAGTACCCAGTGGCCACAATACCCAGTGACCACAGTACCCAGTGGGCACAGTACCCAGTGGCCACAGTACCCAGTGGGCACAGTACCCAGTGGGCACAGTACCCAGTGGCCACAGTACCCAGTGGCCACAGTACCCAGTGGCCACAGTACCCAGTGACCACAGTACCCAGTGGCCACAGTACCCAGTGGCCACAGTACCCAGTGGGCACAGTACCCAGTGGCCACAGTATCCAATAATAATAAAAACATTTGAATACCAGCACAACCATTATGGAAACAGTCACAACCACCACACGGACCAGAGAGGTTAAGCAGCTTGTAAGATACTGTGAGAGTCATAGTAAGCGCTCATATGGTAAATTATACCTAACATTACAGGCATGTCAAACTGAGGGTGCCCCAGGGGTCATATGGGTCACATTTGTGTTGTCATGAGGGCCACACGACAGCTAATTGAAGTAATTTAATAATAGTTATTGCAGAATATTTTTATTGCCTAAACTTAGAAACGTACAAATGTGCATACAAATGTATTTAGCCGGCTTATAAAGTTATGTTAAACTCTTATGAGGCAAATTGTACGTTTTAAGGTCCTGTTATTCTCGGATGGCATCCAGTCTCTCTTAATCAGTACGGTGCAATAGTACGTTATGGTGATCAACTTACTAAATGCGTCACACAGTACTACGAAAAGTAGCGGCTCACAAAAAATCCACGTTTTCTATGCATCGGCCGGTGAGATTAGGTAGGTAGCGTGGGATCGTGCGCGTCTGGTTAGGTTATCTTGAGATGATTTCGGGGCTTTAGTGTTCCTGCGGCCCGGTCCTCGACCAGGCCTCCACCCCCAGGAAGCAGCCCGTGACAGCTGACTAACACTCAGGTACCTATTTTACTGCTAGGTAACAGCAGGTTGGGACTAAATTTTGTACGTTGTGGCACAATGAGAGAGCGGGCTTCTCATGTAGGTAAATTATACGCTTGAAGGTCACACTGAGCTCTCATGGAGGTAAATTATACGCTTCACGGTCATACTAAACTCGCATGGAGATAAATTCAGTCTTATCGATTTGAACTTCCCTGACAGGAAGCAATCATATCGCATCACCAGTGTTGTCATCGCGTGGGTCAATACTTTATACCAGGAATTATTTCAAATAATTTCCACTTTTATTGGTTGGTTCAGAAACGGCCTCGCTTCGTGCAGGATTGGCGTTCGACTCCGGATATTCTCAGAACTTGGGTCCCGTTATTATATCCCAACTCTCACTCCATTATGTCCCTTTCAAGTGCTATTTAGCTATTTTGGCTAAACGTTTTCTCCTCATGATTAGACACAATACAAGCCTGACGACCTATCCACATATGGACATTAACATTCTGAATTATTTTTTCAGAGCACAGGAGTATGTTTTTCAATGGTACATTCTAAGAGGTTAGTATGTCCGCTGGGGAGGTGCCAAGAAGCCCCAGCGACAGCGAGTCTCTCAATAACCATGAAGAAGACGCAGAAGACCACAGAGCGGATACTCAGAAGACCCAAAGCAAGACCAAAGTCTTTGGCTCGAAGAGACCAAACGAGGTCCCGGTTCTCTTAAACCGGAGGAGAAAGATCGTGAACGGGTTTGCCAAGAGTTCTAAAGACAAGCGGCGAGTGAGAAGCAAAGAGGAGAAAGATAATGAGGAGAGCATAGAGGAAATTATGAGAAAAGAAAAGGATAGAAGGAGCACGGACAGCGGCCTAGGAAGGACGTCTGCTGAAGGGGTAGATAGTCCCACCACCGATGATCAGGTGAAGAGGAAAGGATGGGAGAGAGGATCGGGCGGGTCAGAAGGACAAGAGAGAGGGAGGAACAGAACTTACAGAGGATCGGGAGGGGGAATCCTGAGGAAGGACGAGATGACTCGTCTGGAGAAGGAACTGGAACAGGAGATGCGCTACAGGTGAGTTAACTCACCCACTCAGGTCCTTTCTTATATAGTAATTTGATATTTCTTCCTAATCATTTGCATTGCATGATCTGTCTCCTATTTTTCTTAACACTTCGTCTTGGAATGATAATCTTTATTCACTGATTTAGTTTCTACTTTATTTTCTCTTCCCTTCCAAGTCCTGTGTAAATAATATATTGTCTTAATTTCTCTCGTTCTATGTCAGTATTCAGATGCCAATTGAATATCAACGTGTTAATAGTAACATGTCACTTGACAAAACCTTTGTTTTAATATATTGTCTCGGACTGAAATAATCTCTATACCAGCGTTCAAGAAATATATTTATAACCCTCATTCCGCTAAGACCTTTCTTTACACTTGGGCATCCTTCTCTAGAGACACGTTGGAGCAGCTGTACGCGGTCAAGCGTTCCTTGACCGACAAGGATCCGTAAGTTCATATTTCCTTAGCTAAACGCCTCATGTTTATTGGATTCCGGATTCACAGTGATTAGTAAGTCCGGTTTTCTCTCCCAAGTAACAATGGGAATGAACACCTGTGGTACTGTCCTCGTGCACCTGTGGTACAGTCCCGGTGCACCTGTGGTACAGTCCCGGTGCACCTGTGGTACAGTCCCGGTGCGCCTGTGGTACAGTCCCGGTGCACCTGTGGTACAGTCCCGGTGCACCTTTGCCACCATTGTTGCTTGACAGCGTAGTGGTGCAGCTGAAGCGAACATATATGCTGTCAAATACTGATGTTAGAAGAGAAACACTTGACATACCAATCTCTCAGAATCCGGTCTTTAAGTTTCCGTGCTAAGTGCCCCCTTAAGCTTACATGTTCGTACCTCACTCACACGACACTTGGGTCTTGGATGCTGTAGTCTCACAGGTGGAGCCTTCTCTTTAGTTACCTGCGATGCTCCTGCTCAACACTAATATATATATATGACAGTGTCAGACCACGGAGGAAAATTGAAACAGGAATTTCCTTAAGTACTTTCGTATGTTAATACATCTTCAGAAGGAGTCACTCCTTCTGAAGATGCATTAATATACGAAAGTACTTAAGGAAATTCCTGTTTCAATTTTCCTCCGTGGTCTGACACTGTCACATTTTTAATCACGTGTTTATTTTCGTGATATACACACACTATATATATATATATATATATATATATATATATATATATATATATATATATATATATATATATATATATATATATATATAAACCTAATAGGGTACCACCTCTGGTGCAAGCGTAGGGACCCATAGCCTGGGAGAAGAAAATAAAGAGCACTCAGAGAAGACCTTGTGGATCCTCACTTAACACTTTGATATTTTTTTCTCCTACCACCCATATTCTTTTTGTATGTGTGTATATACATATATATCTCACTTTATTTAAAAATTTCATTACACAAAAAGGGTTACAGCATTGGTTACATGCAGGGGTACAAGGCTTCTTGTCACAGGTTGTAGAGTTCCTCCAGTTCCTCAGATGGCGGCCAGGAACCATGGATGCAGTGAGCATTTCTTTTCTGGATCGCCACACTAAGGCATATATATATATATATATATATATATATATATATATATATATATATATATATATATATATATATATATATATATATATATATGTCGTACCTAGTAGCCAGAACTCACTTCTCAGCCTACTATGCAAGGCCCGATTTGCCTAATAAGCCAAGTTTTCCTGAAATAATATATTTTCTCTATTTTTTTCTTATGAAATGATAAAGCTAGCCATTTCATTATGTATGAGGTCAATTTTTTTTATTGGTGTTAAAATTAACGTAGATATATGACCGAACCTAATCAACCCTACCTAACCTAACCTATCTTTATAGGTTAGGTTAGGTTAGGTAGCTGAAAAAGGTAAGTTAGGTTAGGTTAGGTAGGTTAGGTAGTCGAAAAACAATTAATTCATGAAAACTTGGCTTATTAGGCAAATCGGGCCTTGCATAGTAGGCTGAGAAGTGCGTTCTGGCTACTAGGTGCGACATATATATATATATATATATATATATATATATATATATATATATATATATATATATATATATATATATTATATATATTATTAAATATGACCGAAAAAGTAAGATTAATAATTCTAACACGAATTTTCTCAATCTTTCGTACATTACGCTTCACTGTTGGAGTTGTGTATTTGTGAAGTCTTTGAAAATGTAATAAGTTTTACGAAACGCGCCCGTGTCGCGTCAGACTAGAAATAAAAATGAATTTTGGAGAAGTGATTTTTGATTTACCTCCAACAGTGAAGCGTAATGTACGAAAGATTGAGAAAATTCGTGTTAGAATTATTAATCTTACTTTTTCGGTCATATTTAATAATATATGTCTACAGGAAAGACTGCTACCAAAATATACTAATATATATATATATATATATATATATATATATATATATATATATATATATATATATATATATATATATATACATATATATATACAGTATATAAAGTTCTTATACATTATAAAATATATATATAATATATAAAGTTTTCATATTATATATATATATATATATATATATATATATATATATATATATATATATATATATATATATATATATATATATATATATATATATATATATATATATGTGTATATATATATATATATATATATATATATATATATATATAATATATATTAAAACTTAATTATATTGAGTGTTCTCTCTTTTACTTTACTATTAATGCTTTAAAATAATTTGTCTAGATATACACAAAGTTTTGCCTCTCGGCAAGATCACATTATATTGGTATGATATATTTATACTTTATGGCTGCTTTCCTGATACGCTTATTTAGCATATTACTAACATGATGCATGTTCATGTATTTTGTATAGTCTATATTGTTAGATCGTTCTGTGTATGACATTATTGCTACCAAGACCTTACACGCAATATGAACTTACATACTATGAATGATTGTTTATGTAATCGGAAGTCTACATGTATACTGGCAAATGAACCTTTGTCGTAAACAGATTATTCTCATTTTATAACTTAATTGTATTATAACTCATTGGTTTAAAATATAAGGGTATGCTGGAAATCTTTTTCTTGAAGAATTTGGTTTTCTGTAAACGAAATTTTCGGGTACACAATTAGTTTTCGAATTCCATATTTCACATTATCGTCAATAATACACCGTATTAACGTAACCAAACATAATGAATACTAACCTAACCAAACCTTAACCTAAAGTAACCTTAACCTATCCATGGATAGAGATTAGATAATAACACTATGTAGTCGTTCCCAATCCATTCCCTTGACTGTGCGTATAATTACTATATGTGCCTGTAGGATCGAGCTGTCAGGTCTTAGACAAATGTAATGACACTACCTTTTTTTCTCACATATCTACCGCTATATATCTCTCGCACACATGCACATCCCTGTAGCCTGTGGCAGATGTCTATCTCCCAGATACTTATTTACTGCAAGGGGAAAATTATCAGGGCATCATGTGAATGAAACTGTCCATATGTTTTTGCCTATGCCGGGAATCGAACTCGGGCCCTTTGGACTACTACAATCGAGCGCTGTCCACCGATGTGTGTGTGTACTTACCTAGATGTGAATATACACACACACACACATACACATACACTATGACACACTTTTGTGTGTGCATATGTGTGTGTTTGTGAGTCCTTTGTTTACATTCTAAGAATTTATTACGCTATGTGCTCCCTCCATTCCACACCCTTCCATTACCTCTTCCTCCTCCCTTCTCCCTACCTCCCCCCCCCCTCCCCCCTCTCCCCCCTCCCCTACCTCCCTTAGTCTCGTGGCCAAATTCAGCGCTTAGTGTCTTGTGTTTCCATGACTACCGAGTCCCCTTCCGGGGAGACCGACCCCCTTCCGGGGAGTCGACCCCCTTCTGGGTGGTAGACTCCCATCTTGGGGGTCTGTCACCACCAGAAGGGGTTAGCCTCCTGGGAGACCGACCCCCCCCCCCCCCCGTACACGCTCTCCAGTCTAGTTTTAATGGACATTATATATAAATATTACTAATTTTATTATAATATGCACCTTACTAGTCCCATATGTTTAATTTTATCCTATAAAACGTTGCCAACCACCTGTACCCGCCCATCTCCACCCACTATACACCGTGATAACCCCTCCGACAGTCACTACCCGCCTATACCCGCTACCCGCACACCTATACCCATTACCCGCTCACGTATATCCACTTCCAGCCCACCCGTTCACCTATACCTCAGTAGTCCACGACCTGTATCCACTGCCCACCAACCTGTACCCAGTAGCCGCCAACATATACCCACCAGCCGCCCACATATACCCACCAGCCGCCCACATATACCCACCAGCCGCCCACATATACCCAGTAGCCGCCCACATATACCGAGGTAGCCTCAGCCACTAACAGTACCACTCCACCAGGGACACCATAGAGTGGTCGGTGGGCGTCCTGCAGCACAGTGTAGACGAACTGCAGAAACAACTTTCACACATTGATGAGGGCAACGATGAAGGTGGGTGTTGTGTTATTGTTGATTGTTATTGTTGATTGTTATTGTTGATTGTTGTTGTTGCTTTGTTATTGTTGTGTTATTGTTGTCTTGTTATTGTTACTGTCATGTCCTGTCGTAATATTGTTGTGTTGATTTAGGGGCGACGACGATCGTGGGATCGGATGCGCCCTGTCGAAATATTAATGTCCATGTCCAACTATATTATGTATTATGTTTTTGCAATGTTTTTGTCCCTCTTGCTGGTGTCCTTGTCTTACCATTGTTCATTTTCCTTGTGTCTTTGTAGTTCTTCCGGGCATGCTATCAATGAGCCTTTCTGTCTCCTCAGTGTCTTCATAATATCCTTGTCCATATTCCTAGTGTTATCATAATGTTCTTGTCTCTCGCCATGGTATCCTTGTAAGGATTTTATCAATCTACCTGGTATCCTTGTAAGGATTTTATCAATCTACCTGGTATCCTTGTAAGGATTTTATCAATCTACCTGGTATCCTTGTAAGGATTTTATCACTCTACCTGGTATCCTTGTAAGGATTTTATCAATCTACCTGGTATCCTTGTAAGGATTTTATAACTCTACCTGGTATCCTTGTAAGGATTTTATAACTCTACCTGGTATCCTTGTAAGGATTTTATCACTCTACCTGGTATCCTTGTAAGGATTTTATCACTCTACCTGGTATCCTTGTAAGGATTTTATCAATCTACCTGGTATCCTTGTAAGGATATTATCACTCTACCTGGTATCCTTGTAAGGATATTATCACTCTACCTGGTATCCTTGTAAGGATATTATCACTCTACCTGGTATCCTTGTAAGGATATTATCACTCTACCTGGTATCCTTGTAAGGATATTATCACTCTACCTGGTATCCTTGTAAGGATTTTATCACTCTACCTGGTATCCTTGTAAGGATATTATCACTCTACCTGGTATCCTTGTAATGTCCTTGTTCATTTTCCAGGCGTCCTTGAAATGTTGTCGTCAAACTCTCACAAGTCAAGCCTGGCCTCGGGCCGGGCTTGGGGAGTAGAAGAACTCCCAGAACCTCATCAACCAGGTATCAACCAGGTAACCAGGTCCCTCTTCCTTGCTTCCTGGTAATGTGTCTTTGTGTTGGTGGCAGGTAGCGAGTACAAGCTGAGGTACGAGGCGCAGCTGGAGTTGAACGACAAGTTACAGGAGCAGACCGTCTGGTACCAGAGCGAAGCCGACAAGACCAGAGAGAAGATTAAGCAAGGTTAGCTCTTTGTTTAATTCTTTATCTGGTGGTGCTTTCTGTCTCCCCCCCCCCCTAGGGCTCTCTAGGTAGTCTTCCTCCTCCCCTAGAGCTCTCTAGGTAGTCTTCCTCCTCCCCCAGGGCTCTCTAGGGAGTCTTCCTCCTCCCCTCCTCCCCCACGGCTCTCTAGGGAGTCTTCCTCCTCCCTCAGGGCTCTCTAGGTAGTCTTCCTCCTCCCTCAGGGCTCTCTAGGTAGTCTTCCTCCTCCTCTCCCAGGGCTCTCTAGGTAGTCTTCCTCCTCCTCTCCCAGGGCTCTCTAGGTAGTCTTCCTCCTCCCTCAGGGCTCTCTAGGTAGTCTTCCTCCTCCTCCCTCAGGGCTCTCTAGGTAGTCTTCCTCCTCCTCCCTCAGGGCTCTCTAGGTAGTCTTCCTCCTCCTCTCCCAGGGCTCTCTAGGTAGTCTTCCTCCTCCTCTCCCAGGGCTCTCTAGGTAGTCTTCCTCCTCCCCTAGAGCTCTCTAGGTAGTCTTCCTCCTCCCCAGGGCTCTCTAGGTAGTCTTCCTCCTCCCCAGGGCTCTCTAGGTAGTCTTCCTCCTCCCCTAGAGCTCTCTAGGTAGTCTTCCTCCTCCCCAGGGCTCTCTAGGTAGTCTTCCTCCCCCCCTAGAGCTCTCTAGGTAGTCTTCCTCCTCCCCCAGGGCTCTCTAGGTAGTCTTCCTCCTCCCCTAGAGCTCTCTAGGTAGTCTTCCTCCTCCCCTAGAGCTCTCTAGGTAGTCTTCCTCCTCCCCTAGAGCTCTCTAGGTAGTCTTCATTATGAGTCCCTTGTAAATGTATAAAGTACTATATAATGAAATTATTTTTGCAATTACCTGATGAATGTTTTGAGTGGCAGATATTGGCCAGTCTGAGTACAGTCTGGCTGGATCACATGTCAGTAATTAACGGTTGTTTACACTCGTGATTCAGTCCGTTCCTTGGAGCTGCCTCTCCGTAAAAAAGCCAACCTCCTAACCTAACCCAGAAACGTACGACCCCGAACAACCCACCTAACCTACCAAGTTTGATGCATAGGAAATGTAGATATTTGCGAGATATTTGAGATAGAAAATGTAGATATTTGCGAGATATTTGAGATAGAAAATGTAGATATTTGCGAGATATTTGAGATAGAAAATGTAGATATTTGCGAGATATTTGAGATAGAAAATGTAGATATTTGCGAGATATTTGAGATAGAAAATGTAGATATTTGCGAGATATTTGAGATAGAAAATGTAGATATTTGCGAGATATTTGAGATAGAAAATGTAGATATTTGAGATAGAAAATGTAGATATTTGAAAATTATAGATATCTGTTCTTGCTCTAGATGTTGGTATATTATTATTTTTGAATACTGTAGAAACTGTTTCCACAGGTCAGGAGTACACGTATGACCAGGACCTGGACCTGTACAATGAGGTGAGTCCTGGAGGTCACAAACTTTAGGATTACTGCGGTATCTTGTTGACGTGGGTTTGTTTCCTGTAGATGTGGGAGTTCTTCCTGTAGATGTTGGAGTTCTTCCTGTAGATGTGGGAGTTCTTCCTGTAGATGTGGGAGTTCTTCCTGTAGATGTGAGAGTTCTTCCTGTAGATGTGGGAGTTCTTCCTGTAGATGTGGGAGTTCTTCCTGTAGATGTGGGAGTTCTTCATGTAGATGTGAAAGTTCTTCTTGTAGATGTGGGAGTTCTTCCTGTAGATGTGGGAGTTCTTCCTGTAGATGTGGGAGTTCTTCCTGTAGATGTGGGAGTTCTTCCTGTAGATGTGGGAGTTCTTCCTGTAGATGTGGGAGTTCTTCCTGTAGATGTGGGAGTTCTTCCTGTAGATGTGGGAGTTCTTCTTGTAGATGTGGGAGTTCTTCCTGTAGATGTGGGAGTTCTTCCTGTAGATGTGGGAGTTCTTCCTGTAGATGTGGGAGTTCTTCCTGTAGATGTGGGAGTTCTTCCTGTAGATGTGGGAGTTCTTCCTGTAGATGTGGGAGTTCTTCCTGTAGATGTGGGAGTTCTTCCTGTAGATGTGGGAGTTCTTCCTGTAGATGTGGGAGTTCTTCCTGTAGATGTGGGAGTTCTTCCTGTAGATGTGGGAGTTCTTCCTGTAGATGTGGGAGTTCTTCCTGTAGATGTGGGAGTTCTTCCTGTAGATGTGGGAGTTCTTCCTGTAGATGTAAGATTACTTACTGCTAATATTTGTTGAATTCCTGTTGATAAAGATTATCTTCCCTGTTTATATAAGTGTGTGTTGTGTTGATTTTGGGGTTTTCTTCTTATTGCAAATATTTCCTTGCTGGTTTAATTGGGTATTTAGAGTCATCGTACCAGGACACATCTTCCATTATTGTCCCTCACCCAGTTGGACTGGTCGGTTCAGTAATAGCCTCACATCTTGCAAAGTCGGTGTTCGACCTCCAGTGTTGAAGTGGTCGGAAACCGTTCCTTTACTCCCTTCTCATATCCCAGCTCCTTGTTCTCGTGTACAATCTAAATTATATATAACCACACCGGCTTAGTGCTTTATCTTAATAACTTGCCTCACCTTACCTTCACCAGATTGGCCAGGTCATCTTGTGTTGAGTGGACACCTTATACATGTGTTTCTTTGTCAGTTTGAGTTGCTACGGCTGGTGAAGAGTCTGGAGAAAGAGCGAAACAACTTGTACAGTGACCTAAGGAACCTCAGCTGGGTCCTCGACAACCACTCCAAGGTGGGCGATGAGTCACAATAACGTGGCTGAAGTATGTTGACCAGACCACACACTAGAAGGTGAAGGGACGACGACGTTTCGGTCCGTCCTGGACCATTCTCAAGTCGATTGTGAATTATCGACACAATCGACTTGAGAATGGTCCAGGACGGACCGAAACGTCGTCGTCCCTTCACCTTCTAATGTGTGGTCTGGTCAACACTCCAAGGTGGGTAATACTCCACCTTGAGAGAGAGAAGTTGAGTTCCCACTCAGTTCTCACACAACACTCAAACCCCCACACCTTCAGGGTAGGTTTACTCAAGTCTTACATATTTAGGTTCTCTCCACGTTACGGTCACTTAAGTCCCAATCGAGTACCAATCACTTAAGTAACACTTATCATTCAAGCTACTCTTATTTATATTCTACTCATTCAATATTTTTCACTCACTTTAGTCACATGTCTTACTCAAATTAGATTCAATAGAGTCCCTCTTAATTAAGTTCCAGCATCCCAATTTTCACTAACTCAGGTCATCTTTACTAAAGTCTAACTCATTCATATCCTACTTACTCACATAACATTCTTCAAGTCACCATCACTCAAGTCACCATCACTCAAGACTCCTTCACTCAAATTTGGCACAATTCGGTTCCACTCATTCAGGTTCTAGGCACTCAAACTTCGCTCATTTAAGTTCCTTTGAAATATTTGTCTAGTTAATGACTGTCACAATCTCTCTATTTTGTCCTGCCCCGATAGCCTTGAGCTGCTCCTGAAGTCCAGGGTAGGAATTACAGCGTGCAGAAGCCCACGACAACTTCTCTAACCTTAAGTATCCATCATTGGCTCACATAACCATCATAATATTTCCAGTAACGTCCAGCAGTCACCAGAAGCCCCACTAACTGATGCCTCTATATTCTGTAAATGGTGACAGGAGTACCACCACCTGAAGGAGCTGATCAGAGCCTACACGGGCGACCTCACCATCGTCAACAGGTCGCTGGAACACCTGTGGCGCCAGCAGAGTATCAACTATGATAGTCCCTTCACCAGAGGATCAACTCCAGTCACTTCTCCAGGCGGAGTCAAGTGGAGGTATGCGAGTGTAAGGGCGTAACAGTGTAGTGTTGGCAACCCGTTCTCGCACTTTCTTACAGTCAATATTGACTTATTTAATACGTGCATATGTGACATACTAAACATACTAGTTTACCTTGAAAAGCTTCATAGAAAACACCGACCTTACCTAACCTTCTTAGTATGTTAAGATAAGCATCTTATTGCTTCGTAATTAATAAGTCTAATAAGTCAATATTGACTATACGAAAGTGCGAGAACGGGTTGGTGTTAGAGGGGCAAGGGAATTTGGAAAGTAAAGAACAGGATATATTTATAGTCCTAATCGTAGACAAGTTGAATTGCAATTGTTATATAAACACCAACAAGAAAGTTTCCCAAACTGTTGGCATGCTCTTAACATAAGTCGTATGCTCCTGGCTGTATATTCGTCACACTGTTATACTCACTCATCCATGTCTCACCCACGGCACCAGAGCTTAGGCTGTGCTACTCATAATTACTCGACACAACCAGCAGTGAGACCGTCACCAGCTCCTGGCACTATACAGTAATAGCACTCGGGTCCTCTTACACGCTAAATATTAAAGCAATTTATAATTCTACTTTTCATCCATACATCTCTTAACTGTAATGCAAATGCTGCCCTCAAACGCTTTACACCCTCTTCTAAAATTTAATGCTTCGAAATTTTGACGTCCAAATTCCGGAGCGCAAGTGACATTAAACCAACCCGTCCTCGACTCAAGTCCATTACATCCAGCGGTCGACCCCGCAGACGCATTCATAAATTTTAATATGCTGTTCATTCAAAACGGGAATTTTCTCAAGTATAAATTAATATTATAATATATTAGCATATTGTGCATATATAGGCATAGGTTAGGTTAGGTGTTTAGGTTCTGTTGGCGATTATTTGTATTTGTAGTACGTGGGTGAAGCATTTATAGCGTTGTGGTTCGAACAAAATTCGTCAGTGAAACACTTGTTCCGGATATGTTCGAACGTCAGCAGTTGTGAGTCGTGTGTAAACCGCTTTTCATTCATAAACAGGGGGTTTGGCGGGTGCATGGAATCACTTTTGGATCTTTGTTTGGAGGACGGGCTGCATTAAACAGCCCGTCCTCCAAACAAAGATCCAAAAGTGATTCCATGCACCCGCCAAACCCCCTGTTTATGAATGAAAAGCGGTTTACACACGACTCACAACTGCTGACGTTCGAACATATCCGGAACAAGTGCTTCACTGACGAATTTTGTTCGAACCACAACGCTATAAATGCTTCACCCACGTACTACAAATACAAATAATCGCCAACAGAACCTAAACACCTAACCTAACCTATCCTATGCCTATATATGCACAATATGCTAATATATTATAATATTAATTTATACTTGAGAAAATTCCCGTTTTGAGTAAACAGCATGTTAAAATTTATGAATGCGTCTGTGGGGTCGACCGCTGGATGTAATGGACTTGAGTCGAGGACGGGTTGCATTAAAACCTGGGCAACACTGATGTTTCATCGAACTATTTGGCTTCGTACTCGAAAGACCTGGTGACTCGCTTAGATCACAATGCCTCTCCTTAGGTACAACCACTTACCATTAGACGCTGTCAAATGGTAAGAACCCATGGCGTATCAAAATTATGTTGATGTTGCTTTTGACATTCACTGATAATTACACACACACACACACACACACACACACACACACACACACACACACACACACACACACACACACACACACATACACACACACACACACACACACACACACACACACACACACACACACACACACACACACACACACACACACACACACACACACACACACACACACACACACACACACACACACACACACACACACACACACACACACACACACACACACACACACACACACACACACACACACACACACACACACACACACACACACACACACACACACACACACACACACACACACACACACACACACACACACACACACACACACACACACACACACACACACACACACACACACACACACACACACACACACACACACACACACACACACACACACACACACACACACACACACACACACACACACACACACACACACACACACACACACACACACACACACACACACAGTGGTAGACGGTTGGAACAAGTTAGGTGAGAAGGTGGCGGCGGCCAAGACCGTCAGTAGTTTCAAAGCATTATATGACAAAGAGTGCTGGGAAGACGGGACACCACTAGCGTAGCTCTCATCCTGTAACTACACTTAGGTAATTACACCACTCGTCAGAGCACCCTGCCCCACACCCCACCACGGACGAGTCACACGGCTCACACACTGACAGACAACCTTTCCTTCAGCAGATTTGTGCTCGATGCTGTTCGCGAGCGAAGGTAACCGGACTCAACGTATAATATCTTAACATTAGATTTTTAGACTAATTTTAGTAAAGAATGCTATGATGGTATGAACTAATATAACTATTTGTTTTGCTTGTCTCTCGCCGCATGACGCTTCTGTGTGTGTGTGTGTGTGTGCACATACATATATATATATATATATATATATATATATATATATATATATATATATATATATATATATATATATATTTAAATTGAGCGTGTCTTGTGAAAATATTTGAATAAAATCTAGAACTTTAAAGCAGCCAACGATTGTAGAACTTTGTTGTATTAGTTTGTATTTCTTACAGTGCAAATTAAAACAAAAATACAATTATGGGTGTATATAAACATCAGTGTTGTATGAATATCATGAAATAACTATATTTCGTTAACATAATGATTTAACATAAATTGTTCTGCGATTCATTAACCAGTTTCAGCCTGTTCCCCCCCCTGTTAATCTCCTGCCCGAAACGCTTTGCGTAATAGTGGCTTTAGGCATTGTATGTACTAGCTCCTATCTATAAAGCCAACAAACTTTGTAAAATCTCTTTATGTATGTACCTTTGCCTAAATAAAAATTATTATTATTAATTATTATTCTATTAACTGCGTTATTAAATTGTAATGATTTTGTTGATTTTATTCCTGGAATTGAGTTTTGGTTTCTTAATGTGTTGTTTGACTTTGTGTTATTGATATTTGTTCTTTAGTAATTGATTGTTCGGCTTTTGTTATTCAACTGAAAGCAACCTTTTATCTTCCTCAGTAGGCCCTTCTTTAACCCCTAGTGACGTTTTCTAGCGTTAAATAAATTATTTTTTATTTCGAGACAGCACGTTATAGCACACAGCAACCCTTTTAACCCTGTCGTAGCTCAGTCGATTAAGGCAGTGTCTGGGATGCTCCCAGACGCAGGTTCGAATCCTCGTTACTGCCCTTGTGGATTTGAGCACGTTATAGCTTCTAATTGCCTTTATTGGCAGTTATCAATGTAGTCGTAACTAGTCGTAACCAACCTTAGTGACCCGAGTGACCCTTGCTTCTAAACATATATTGAATAAAGTGACTGGGTGATCTTTTTCCAATCCTTTATGAATCTTTGTAATAAATAGATAAATTTGTGCAGGCGATGAGTCACAATAACGTGGCTAAAGTATGTTGACCAGACCACACACTAGAAGGTGAAGGGACGACGACGTTTCGGTCCGTCCTGGACCATTCTCAAGTCGATTGTGTTTACACAAGTTTACACAATCGACTTGAGAATGGTCCAGGACGGACCGAAACGTCGTCGTCCCTTCACCTTCTAGTGTGTGGTCTGGTCAACATAAATTTGTGGAAATCCTGATTTATAATTTGTTAAAGTGATTTTTCTTTTGTCTTCTAGTGTCCCACTTGGACTAATATTTGTATTGTCTTTACATCTGGTTACTTGATCTGTCTCTTATTGACCCATTTCTGGCTCTCAGTGGCACTTATAATTTATATCTCTTCCTTATTGTTAAGTTTCCCTGCATACTTTTAGCAACTTTATAGTGTTGAGTGAACACTTGTGACTGGTACTGTTTAAAATGGCCCAGAGATGGCTTTTATGTCCCTATTTTATTAACACCTAGTCTTAATAGTATTAAGTGTAGTGTTTTATTAACACTTAGTGACCTATTCCTGACCTGTTAGTAAACGTTTCAGTCCTCTAGTAGCTACTTTTTATATATCTTGTAAATTCTTTGATTTTAACGAATGTCTTTCTCACAGACATTTTATGGTCCTTATTAATATCTTGTAACATTTAGCACCTACTGACGACTCATGCGACTTCTTCATACCCACTACCACCTATTCCTCACTTAATGTCTCCTCTCTTTGGCCTGTAATGACATCGGTGGAGCGCGCCCTTGTGTTCCAGTAGCGGTCAGTCAGGAATCAGGCCCAGCCAGAGGATCCTGGACCCGCGGAAAGGCCCCATCAGGAAAACTGTAGGAGTACGCTCCTTGCCCAGGCTGGACCACGAGGCTCTCGATTACTACGACACCGGCAGCCTCTTCAGGAAGGCTCGCTCTAGGTGAGGGAGAGTTAGAGATTGATTGATTGATGAAGATTAAGCCACCCAAAAGGTGGCACGGGCATGAATAGCCCGTAAGTGGTGGCCCTTTTGAGCCATTACCAGTATCAAGAGATGATACTGGAGATCTGTGGAGGTGCGACTGCACCCTGCGTGACGGGAGATGTCTCCCGGACTAAATGGTGACCAAATGGTAAGAGTTAGAGTTAAAGAGTGTGTGAGAGTGAGAGTGAGAGAGAGAGAGAGAGAGAGAGAGAGAGAGAGAGAGAGAGAGAGAGAGAGAGAGAGAGAGAGAGAGAGAGAGAGAGAGAGAGAGAGAGAGAGAGAGAGAGAGAGAGAGAGAGTATACAATCATCTTTTCGTAACTTGTGGTCTCTCCTCGTGTCAGGTCGAGAGGTCGTCCCCGGTTGAGAGCCAAGTCCCTGGATGCCAAGAAGGAAGTGCCACTCCCGGATGTGGTAAGTGTCGCCCTCGTGGTCCCATAAAGTGTAAGGGTCTCAAGTGACGGAGATTTTAACTTTATTCTGTAATGTCAATGTTCTTTATCCAGTTATTCTTATCTCGCTTAAATTATGAACGTTTGACATTTAACGCTAAGAGTTAATCTTAGGTTGTATGAAAGCAAAGAACAAATGTTTCTTGGTTTTGCTAATCCTTATTGTTATCTTATTTGTTATCATGCTCCACATTATTCCACTTCCTTCAGACTTTCCACAAAATTCAGATTCATAAGCTCAGAAAACTAGCCTTACTTCCTGTCCCTGGATCCTTTTATTTTTTTTTTGTAGGGGTTCAATGCCGGGGCTGCATACTCACGAGTGTGTATGACATAGGTCGTGTGGGAGTATGGAGGAGTGTGTGGTTGTGGACAAACATACAGTGAGGGAGTGTGTTGTGATGAATACAAATAAATGAAGGAGGTGAGTTTGTAAGAGAGGAGTGCTTCAATATGGAGTAATATGATGTGTGAAACATTACATACACAGAAATTTGCAGCTCTAAACAGCAAAAATCACAGCATTTTATACTGTGATTTTCATACTCATTCATACTCACTTTGCTTTCAAAACTTGTTGAATTTTATAACGTTGGTTTGTTTTTCTTAAGATTGAACCCACGAGTCATGAATTACGACTATATATAACTTGGACCAAAAAGTTATATATTTCAGAAATGTTCACTTCTCTGCGGCTGCCCGAGAATGTAAAGTAACATGTACTGTATACTTAACACTGATGGACATCTTTGGTATCTTTTAAGAACTTGAAACATGTTGAGAATTGTCTTACTGCCTGATAATGACATAAACAGGATGAGGTACCCGGCAGTGCCAGGGTTGACCCCAAAAGGTTACGCCATTTAAGTATTCTGGGGCCAGATTCATGAAAGCACTTACGAACGTGTACATCTTTCCTCAATCTTTGGCGGCTTTGGTTACATTTATTAAACGGTTTACAAGCATGAAAACTTCCCACTCAACTGTTGTTATTGTTATAAACAGCCTCCTGGTGCTTCGAAGCTCATTAACTGTTTAATAATTGGAAACAAAGCCGCCAAAGATTGAGAAAAGATGTACAGGTTCGTAAGTGCTTGCGTGAATCTGGCCCCTGGTCCTTCCACTAACATTATGGCGCCAAATATATTTTTGCTCATTTCGGGCCACTGGTGAGGACCCTCTCCAGTTATCCCTATGACCCGCCTTCTCTCTTATCTGCAGGTGGCTCCACTGAACCCAGGGATGAGGGTAAAGTCAGGGGAAGTTCACTCCCTCAGGTCCTCGTCAGGAGTCTTCGACGAGTCGTGCGAGGCCAGTAATGAAGCCTCCACCACCGCCTCCGTCGAACTCAGCTCGGACAAGATGTAGGAGTCAAGTGATTCATGGTTGTCTTCCTAGGAGGCCGAGAGGGATTGTCTCGTAGGCCATGCATGAGGCTACCCTGGGTGGTTGTGTCTCGTAGAAGGTCAGGAGGCTATTTGGAAGCCGGTCGGCCGAGTGGACAGCACGCTGTACTTGTGATCCTGTGGTCCTGGGTTCGATCCCAGGCGCCGGCGAGAAGCAATAGGCAGAGTTTCTTTCACCCTATGCCCCTGTTACCTAGCAGTAAAATAGGTACCTGGGTGTTAGTCAGCTGTCACGGGCTGCTTCCTGGGGGTGGAGGCCTGGTCGAGGACCGGACTGCGGGGACACTAAAAAGCCCCGAAATCATCTCAAGATAACCTCAAGATACCCTGGGTGGGTTGTCTCGTAGAAGGCCAGTTGTCCTGGGTGGGTTGTGTCTTACGAAGTAGTAATATTGTTACTTGCTTCTGAAAAGAGCTGTATATTTGAATGTTAGGTCAAGGATCATTAGTTGGAGTGCTGGTGCATCTGGACCAACGGGTGATTAAAGTTTCTAAGAGGCTTTATTAAAAATAAGAGTCAAAACGTTTTGCTGCTGCTGTTAGGAGAGATCCTTGTGTTCTCTGCCAATCTGGCTTAGCTTCTGTGCTCGGACGTTGGGTTATTTGGTCTTAGTATCTAAGGAAGTGCAAATCATTTGTGTATATTTCTCTTTGGAGGAAGGATCGGTAGTGTTTCTTCTGCGAAGTCAGGACAGATCTCTTGGGTGAGTTTACTAGAAGGATTTAATAGTCTAATACGTTTCTCCTCGGAGTGTTGAAATCATACTTAACCAGTAATGCCGTCCAGTGAAAATTGCTAAAATTTTCACATAAGATTAATTATGTTCCTATGCGATGTCTTCATTTATATCCTCATCTGGTTCTTGTAGCTGCAAATAGGTGGGATGTATGTTCCCATACATCACTTGTCTGGAGCCTTAAGTCATCCTACGACATCGTCTTGTCTCCTTCAGTTCTGACATTCAGTCTTGGCACGTTAATCTCTTATCAGCCCAAGATGTCACGTCTTCTACGGAGGTATATTGTGTTAGACGTAGCAGCAGTTTGCAATATAACTTCTTATTCTAATTGTTATCACTTCATACAACGACCTTCTTCGTTATCACCAAGGTATTTGTCATTATTAAATGATTACTATCTAAATGTAGATTACCTTCCATTATTAACAAGATATATTTTTGTAGATAATTCTAATTAAATTTTAGCCATACTCTGAGAGAATGTCCGTGTTTGTTTATTTGTCCAAAGTTGGAGGCCAGACGCTTGGGGGCTAGTCTTACTCAAATTTGTAGGGAAAATGGTCTGGGGTATGGGACGGACATAGGCTGGTCAGGGTAGACCTAAGTTTATTGATTTAAGAAATATTAGTAATTATTTACACCCCTTCCTAGGCTGGGGGTATAAATAATTACTTTTATTTGTGATGTCTTAATATTATGTAAATAATTACCTAACCTAGGTTATAATACCTATTATAACCAAGTCCTAAATACCTATTATAACCTTGGTTATAATACCTATTATAACCAAGTCCTAAATACCTATTATAACCTTGGTTATAATACCTATTATAACCAAGTCATTAATTCATGATGATAATATAATAATAGCAACTGGAATAAACAAATTTGGAAAGAAATATTTGAAGATAACGAAAATCACTCTGCCTGTTAGGCAAATCGAGCCTTTCATACTAGGTCAATATATATATAAGCTTAAAATGATTTTCTCACACTAGACTATATGCGGTTTTATTATTTATGAGTTGTTACATTATATTTTATTTTATTACTTTTATTATATAACAACTGCATTCAATTTTCGTATTTTAGCATTATTTGTTAACATAAAATTTTGAATTTATTTGTATGTGTATAGAATAATCGTGCGAGAGAAAGGAATATATTATATGAGATCCTTAATTTTTCTTACTGTTAAGGTTATGAAAATATGATAATTTATGAAAATTACCTTAATTATAAATGTAAAAAATGAAAAAAGGCTATTGGTCAATTTGTATGTGAAATGGAAGTAAACATAATATGAGAAACAAGATTTTAAATGTGTAAACGTAGATAGAATGTAGATTTTTTTTCTATATCCTTCTAGTTCCCAGCAGTAAATGTCTTAAGTCAATTTTTTTCAATGACCTTAACGGGTACCTGAGGAGGATCGAAAGGTTGGAGCTAATAGGCAGATCACATGAGTGTTGGTGTGTCAGGTCTACCTATTACCACACAACCATATTAGAACGTATTCAAAGGAGACTTTGCCTAACTTTAGTTAGTTGGATCACCTACTTTTTAAAAACAAACAAATGTTCCGAAATAATGTTATTTATGCCTGATTTGAAACCGAGATTAAGGTCTATCAGCTTCCGGAAGATTATAAGATCAGCCACAATAGCTTACTGACCAACCCGCCAAACACACACCGAAACTACGACGTTGCTACAACGTTCGAACAAGTTTTCACGCCACCTAACCAGTTATAACTACCAATATAGCAAGTTGTAACAACGTTCTAATACGTCATAAACACGTTAAGCCAAGATGTAACAACTTTATTACAAGTTGTAACAAGCGGAAAATAGAGACAGTTTCGGTTTGTGTTTCCAGGGTAGTAGCCAGTTTACTTTAGTCTTGAACATAATCCTGGACTTAAATAAACCTTCATTGTATATACTTAGAACCTGGGAACACGTCTCTGTGTATATGTAACCTATGGTAGATTTCTGCCAAATGGTGAGAACACTCTGTTGGCTGCTTTAAAAAACACGGAATTGAATATACTTTTAATCAAACGAAAAGTGAGAAAAGGAAAAATGTGATTTTCGAGGGAATAAATTAGAAATAAAATTCAAATAAATTGAATCATCTTATTCATAAATGTTAGGAAATATATTATTTCTTTAGCTTACATAGTTATTAATTTAGAGTAGAAAGGCGTAATAATAATAGGGTATGGTACACCTTATAATCGTAAATTGTACAATGTAAAAGGCCCATTATAGGATACTTAAAATGTAAAACACAGCTCAGATAATAGTAAGTTATAATTCTAACAACAATCACAGATACCTTACTCAAGAAAAGAGGTGACATGTATATTGGCAAAAAGGAAAATTAATAAGAAACATCTAATATGAGCCTTTGTAGAGTAAATATATTATGGATGTCTATACATTTACAGACTGAAATTTAGTAGCATGAGATAAACGGCCTTGATAAAACTCAGTTTAAACACTTTTCGTATAACAGGGAACTGATTCAGGATTATACTGGGCCTTGGTGAAGCTACGGCTCCAAAAAGGCTGTTGGGGTCTGATAGAATCTCACCGTGGATACTAAGAGAGGGTGCAGAAGCACTGTGTGTGCCACTCTATACGGTGTATAATAGGTCACAGGGAACAGGAGACCTATCGAAAAGTTAGAAGACGGCTAATGAAGTCCCAATATACAAAAAGGTGACGGGCAAGAGGCACTGAACTACAGGCAGGTTTCTTTAACTTGTCTACCATGCAAGGCGATGTAGAAGATCGTGTGGAAAAAGCTCATAAAAAGGTTTTTGTGGCACAACACTAAGCTGGGTTCGGAGATGGTAAGTCGTGGTCCTCAGATTCAATAGAATTCTACAACCAGGTGACAAAAAATAGCAAGAAAGAGAAGGGTAGGCAGGTTGCATTTTCTAAGACTTTAAGAAAGCCTTTGACATAGTATCCCATAAGAGGCTAGTACAGAAGTTGGAGAAACAGGTAAGGTGCTCCAGTGGACAACGGAGTATCTAAGCAACAGAAACCAGTGAGTTTCTTTGTTTGCTGATGATACTAAAAATATGATCAGGATAAAGACAGAAGATAGAGCTACAAGATGAGCTGTACAAACTGAATGAATGGTCCAGCAAATGGCTACAAATATTTAACTTAAATAAGTGTAAAGTAATGAAAATAGACGAAGCGAGCAGGAGGCCGGACACAAGGTACCATCTGGGAGGTGAAATTCTTTAAGAATCATGTAGAGAGAAAGATCTGGGGGTTGATATACCGAACCTGTCCCCAGAAGCCCACATCAAAAGGATATCATCAGTGGCATATGCTAGATTGGCCAACATACGAACTGCATTCAGAAACTTGTGTTAGGAATCATTAAGAACCTTGTATACAAATATGTCAGACCAATCCTGGAGTATGCAGCTCCAGCCTGGTGTCCATACCTAGTTAAACACACGACAAAGTTAGAGAGGATTCAGAGGTATGCCGCCAGTCTAGTCCTAGAACTGAGAAGTATCAGTTATGAGGAAAGGCTATGGAAATTAAACCTCACGTCCCTGGAAGACAAGTTAGGGGAGACATGATCAACACCTGCAAAATTCTCAGAGGAATTGACAGGGTAGATAAAGACAAACTATTTAACATGGGGTGGAACATGCACAAGGGGACAGGTGGAAGCTTAGTACTCAAATGAGCCATAGAGATATTAGGATGAATTTTTTTCAGTGTCAAGAGTAGTTAACAAATAGAATGCACTAGGAATACATGAATGAATAATACAATACAGTAATATAATAATCTGAGTAATACAATACAATACATGAATGAACGCAAGCACAACTAGGTGAGTACTGCTTACAGCCACAGAGGGCCGTCCTGGTCCCGGATTCATCAACATTTACGCAGCTATCCTTACGGACCTTAACATCTTTGCTGTATCTTTGGCGGCTTTGTTTATATTTAAATGGGCTCTGAAGCGCCAGGAAGCTCTTTATAACAATAATTACATTTGATTATGCAGGTGATGAGTCAATAACGTGGCTAAAGTATGATGACCA